GGCGACTTTACAAACCAAGCATTACAATCTTCGTAAATGGGCCTAGAAATAAATTTAAGAAAGTGAGAACAACCACTCTATAATTTTATGTTTTTCTAGACTTTTAAGATCGTTGTCACTTTAATTTGTCTCTAACGTACAATTTGTTAGTTTATTTGGATAAAGACATCTTCATTAGCAAGTATACATAAAGAAAAATCGCAAATTGTTCAGAAATGTGACTTGGCATGGCAAATTAAAAGACAGGAAAATGAGTAAGTTAAGCGACGACAATCATGAATTAATTTAATCATTAGCATGAATTATTAAAAAGAGGAATTTGCAATATTTTAAAATAGCAGTGAGCAACTATTTACATCGTATAAAATTATAGACTTTGATATTCAAATTTTAAAAGATTAAATATTGTCATAAAACTAATTCTGCGGTAAAACAATCACTTATCCGTAATAACGCAGGATAAACAAGATTAGAGACAATCTCGAAGACGTCAAATCGGATATCGGTTGCGCTAAAGATATGATAAGAGAACTTTTGGTTCTATCAGGAAGTAAAAGTCGTTGTATCTGATTCAAAGTGCCGAATATTCCTCCGTGAAATCAATACTGCTTGATTTATCTACTTGCATTTTAAATACTAGACTAAATTAGATTTTAAATTAATTAATCAAGGTGTCTTTACATTTGTGCATTTATTGCGTATTGTGTATGTAATCAATATTTTTATGCTAATCCTCATGGAATATAGATCAAGAGATCATGATCGATTATGATTGATAAAGCCTTTATTGCTAAAGGCTATTTCTATCTATTATGCGGTTAATTAGATATCGGCTGAAATTATATCGTAGTAATGATGAGAATAAAAGTATTTGCTAAATCAAGGATTCGTAGAAGAGAATCTACTAGTCCTTAGCTAAATATAGCAAGGATGGAGCAATAAAATACGTAAAATCTAAGTTAGCAATGTATATCTAGTCAATTTTTCACTTGTATGGATGCAATGATTTAAAATTCTTGAGTATTAGGGGTTAGCTCATATCTATCTAGTCATGATAAGCTAATTTTCGAGGGAGGTACCGATATATACGTTTACATTGCTGAATTTTAAAACTAAAACGTTAGACTTTTCTAACTGAAGTTAGCGATATCTGATAAGATTCCCGTTTCATCCTTTTTTTACCATAACACTAGCGATTTTTTATTTTTTGTTACTGTATAAATATTATTATTACAGTACATTAGACTGCCTAATTTGCTCTTGGCTACGGAAGACGGAGGGTCTATATTAATGAAATTTGTGACTGAAGTTTTGGTATATAATTGTACTTACGCGAATGTTACCTTGTTGATCTCTAGGGACTTTATGATATTTTCATATTAATTCTGTCCATTTTGCAAACTAGATTGAAACTATAACCCATGCGAAAATTCGCTCTCATGTGGTACTGTATGACACAGCGATGTTGGCAGAATGTAGACTGCATTTTTCAGAAATTATTGGGCCGATTTTAAATAGTACGTTTGTTTTACGATGATATGGTGTTTGGTTTATGATTTAGCTACAGTTGCCCAGTAAACGCAAAATTAGTATTCAACCTTGGGGTACATTTCATCGTTTATAATACTCTTTAAAATCTTCTACTGGCCAACATATTCCAGCATACATATTTTATATATATACGAGTATACTGTTACGTTGCGGTCATTCCTAAGATCCATAAATTGATCTTGATATGTCGCATTAAAAATACAGTAGTATTTATTTCCAAATATAAGCATGAGGGCTTTAGCTGGCTTGCAGCTTTAATTTTTTCCCTGTCAAAGTAAGATGCACTGACAGTATGTTTCCTTGACTTTCTTCATTCTTTCGTGAATGTATAATAATCGTAGTGTATGATATTTATACACTCTTTGATTAGCTATTTTATAGTAGTATTTTAGGTTTCTTTTCCTCTTTCTAGCAATCAAATATTCTTACATTTTGGTGTTGTTTCTTTGCAGCAGTGTGATACTACTCGTACTTGCTTTTTTTTGTTGTTGTTTACAGAGTATTTTATATAGTTCGACGCGTGCATCGATGGTAAGATACGATATCAATACTCATTTTTATTCATCAATGCTGTTATGCGGATCAATTAGGCTTTTCCATTTTGAGGGTAACAGATAAGACAGAATGATTTTGTGACTTGTAGGGTGTTGTTATGCAAATTTTAAATCATCTTAGTCATCAAATTAGGCCGTATTTTTGTTACTATAGAATGATCAAGAGTAATTTATTTGTTTTCATCTAAAAATTAACAATCTTGCAATTTCCTTTTAATAAATACAATTGTTTTCATCTAGTTCCACATGGGTAACATACTGTTCCACATGACATTTAAATGCATTATAGAAGTATTTTTTTGGCTATGGCTTATTGCGTCACATGGAGTTGTAAGCATTGTCTTTTAATCATTTTAGTGGATAGGAGAATGAACTGTATAATGTTTTAAGCATATTCTACTTTCTATTGTTACGATAGCTCTTATTATACTGGTAATTTGGTTAAGGGTAACTTCTCTCTCAGTCTATTCCAACTGCAATGACTGCTTTTCATTGTGTTGCAATAGGACTGAAGAGCGGTTCTGCCAAGCCAATATCTTGTGTTATTCTAGACGTTCTTGAAAATGCTTATTGATTGTGAATAACCGCAATCTTCGTCTTGCATTAACTTAATTAATGGGAATATCCAAGGTAGTGCCGTACGCATCCAGTCTCATTATCTTCTATTTTCTGATGCATGGTCTCACGCACATTTTGTTATTGTACTAGCCAACTTTGCATGCGTTGCTTAGGACATTCCAATGATTCATCATCCTCAAATTGTTTTGTATTTCTTCTAGTATAACCAAGCTAAATATGTTTCAGATAGCTACACAATCAATAATAATTGCAACATTCAAATTTGGAAAGCAAGCTTAATACGTCTTAGGATGACATTTCATTTTAGCTCGATTCCAAGATTGAGGTTTATATATATACATAGGGTATATACTCTCGAGTTGATAGGCTAAAAGCATCCATTCCGGTTTTCACTGCTGGAAGAAATATCTAGTGGAATATGTTATTTGAGAGAACGGCCGCTACGATAAACTCTACATTGTTTCTTCTTCGTCGATCGCTGTTTTTCACTCTACCGTATAAAAAATCGGTGAAGAATTTGTGACATCGAGTCAAAGAATAAAGTGTGTTGTTCTTCACTCCATTTTTTTTTATCATTCTACTGTTCGTAGCTTATCCTGACAATATGAAATACTCATAGGGTGATCATAACTGTTTTAGGGCTAAGTTTGTGTCGAGTGAGTGTTGTCTAAGTACGTCAAAAAAATGAAGCAACGTACATGAATCCAAAGTATATCCTATTCTAGCTGTGCACGTTCTGTTTTGAGTACCAAGCTAAAGCCCTCTTATCATGTCTGTGATTAGGCGTTGTTATATATGTACTTATGTCGAGATCAAGGGCGCAATTTAGTGGCCATCTCGATTGAACAAGTATGGTGGAGCATCGCTGGAAAGCAAAGTTATTACAACAAAGGCGCTACTATCCACTATCCAGTACAGTATAGTCCATCGCAGAGGAGACACGATAGAAATATCCAATTATTAGCCAATTTTTCATTTTTGATTCGAATTTACAAGTCCATATTATAGCAGCAATAAATTAGTTGTACCCCAACCAGATTAGTTTAAAGTAGTTGGTAAACTCGATATCCATCTTCTCGATAAGCAGCAACCATTTCTTTCCAGTGCGGGTAGACGGGTTAAGTAGTGCCTAGCTGGTTGTCTGTTCGTGTCGAAAAGTACTGGGACGAACGGTCAGATGGACGTCACGCTGTGGGTAGACACCGGTGCAAGATCAATATGGGAGTCCATATTGGCCAATGGTGGCTACTGTTGTGCCTTGGTTTAGACCTGTTTGAGAGGATAATTTGGACTTGGAAGATCAGAAAGTGAAAGAAAAACAAAAACCTTGTAATCGCCGTCTTTTATCCTCTCCCTTCTCTCGCAGACACAATGGCCAATGCAGTAGAGACTGCATACTGTGCTTTGGTTTTATTGTTGTTGTACTGTAATCGAGTCTGGCGTAAGCAACTTTGAAAAGAGAAAAGAAAGCTGTGAGTAAAGAAGAAAAGTGTCTCGATCAACTCATGGTAACTCTGGAGAGAAAAAGGAAACGGAACTGGCTGTCTCGTTTTCAACACCAACGCTGTCATGGCGTTGGTATATAGGTAAAGGGATTGAATGGAATAGAGCAAGGAATTGAATGGAATAGGTCAAGGAATTGAATGGAATAGGGCTAGGAATTGAATGGAATACGGCAAGGGATTGAATGGAATAGGGCAAGGAATTGAATGGAATAGGGCAAGGAATTGAATGGAATAGGGCAAGGAATTGAATGGAATAGGGCAAGGAATTGAATGGAATAGGGCAAGGGATTGAATGGTATAGGGCAAGGGATTGAATGGTATAGGGCAAGGAATTGAATGGAATAAGAAAATTAAAAATGAATTCCAACAAAAAAAAAAAGACAATCCAAAATTTTCATGGAGGTACAGTGGACCCAACCGGGAGAGTATCCTGCTACAGTGTCCTGTACCCTAATCTACAGTGTACAGTATCTTGGTCCATCGTAGCACCTACCACAATACAGTACAGTATACTGTAGTCCTGGCGTACCAGGATCGCTAACCCACCAGGCGCAACCGGGGTATTGCCTGCGGTAGAATCAGAAGCTAGTGAGTTATTTTCACTTCTTGCAAGTTTATTTGATTGCACTCAATATTCCTGACTCAATTACATCGATTGGACGAGAAGGCATCGGATAGTGTGCTTGAAGAGTGAGAAGAAATCCAAAGCAATTAGGCATTACCTTGATTCTACAGTATTGGATCGGTTGATTGACAAGGAGATTGATATAACACTACCATAGCATTGGTCCATCGTTGCAAGGATTGAAAAATGGCTCTTTGGGCAGCATCTCAAAGTCTTCGCGGTCCTGCATTACAAGAAATGCTTCGCACTTATGAAAAGCATCAATTTCATATTGAAATCAGATGTACTTTTGCCAATTGGATTGAGAACCAGTTTTGGTAAGCTTTCTATCTATCCTAGCGTAGAGTAATCAAATAGTATTGGACCCAGTCTATCATACTTTACCTAAAGGCAATCAATCACCTAGTAAAAATATCCTAGACGAGAGAATCAATTGCATTGATCGCCAACACCGATCGTCCTTTTCTCCATGCGTTGATACGGTATGGCATAGCGTATCGGAAGACATGTTTTCCTCCATCATTCATCATCGCATTCTCCTTTTTTTTCTCTCTCTCTCTCTTTCCCTTTCAACTATTCCACAGTTGTATTCAAATTTTTTTTTATCCTATCCAATTTCCAAATTGGAAATTTGGATCTACATAAATAATGATTATTATTATCATTTTCTCTTTCTTTATTCCTTTTTGTTCTTTTTTCATATGCTTGACTATGAATTTACTTTGATATGGTACTTCTTGTTATTACGTTGCAGTTGAAAGGGGATTGGGATACTGCCCGAGATTGTAATTAAATAAACATTCGTCAAGAGTTGAGTAAGGGACATTTTAAACTGATCGCCACTTTTAAATAACAACACCAAGGCTAATGATGGTCTAAGACAGCTTACGATCTGATTCCACTGGATTAGACGTATATTATATGAATAATTTTTTTTTTTTGGCGGGGGAGGAAATCAATAGCGAGTTTTATAGACATTTCCACTCTCCCACAGTAATATGCAACGGATGTCATTGTTCAAGTCAAATTAACGCCAATGAAACCATCATGTAGAGTAAGAAGCCAACTTGAAACGATCTGCAATGAATTTCTGACAATAGACAGATTTTTGGACCTCTAAAATTCAAGAAGCGCAAGATGGCAAAGTAGTCGCAGTCTATTGCAGCACAGCCTGGTTTGTGGTAATATTCAATGAACCTGCCATGTACACGCGGATCAATTGCATAGAAATAACGACGTTATTGAACGAGCAACTGTGTCCTTGATCAGCTTGTTAGTCAAATTAGATACATCTTACAGCTTACAATCAAGAGCGATTTTTAAAAATCGGGTCTATGATAAAGTCGATGCAGATTCCAAGTTTTGCACATGAAATTGGTGTAATAATTTTCAGGCGTGACTGACTAAATGTATCATGTTGTAAGCGATTCGATAGGACATTCTAATGATAAAATTTCCTGTACATGATGGTTACTACCTTTAAATACCCGGCTGAATCGGCAAAATCATGGGCTAGCGTAATCATTTTAAATAAAATTAATATCGAGCCATTGGATTGATGTTTTCCTTTGTTAAGAGTAGTTTACGTTGCAACACCTTAAGAAATGGTCAATAGGAACGATAGATCACTAGCGTGTCTACGAGACCGATATCAGCCCCAAAATTGTAGTCTTACTGTATTTCTAAGGCTTTCTCAGTTTCTTATGGAAATAGATTAAATACTATTTCAATTTCAATTTTTTTTCCTTCTTTGACAATATTCTATCATGCTACGTTAATGATGCTATCGCCCATATTAAAAATTCGAGGAAGATTTATTGTGTAGTAGCGGAGAACGAAGTCAATGTTCTCTATCGACTGTACTAATTTTTATTTCTTTTTACCGTTATTGAAAAGAAAGATCACGTCCATCGATAGCACGAATTACTGCCGAATATTAATTTTATTAGTACACTAATATAGTGTTGTAGTACCAAATACTACACTATACCGATGCTAGTTTTCATCGTTATTGAATCTAGATTGATGTAGTTACATTTAATGTCCAAACAGAGAGCAATCAATTAATGATGATAGTGACTACTCGCTAATTTTTGCCCTTAACTTTAAAGTAAAAATTCGCAAGTATTTTTTTTTGGGGGGGGGGGAAAGGGAGAAAGTGGCGAGTAGTCCCTAAGGATGATTATTACGTAGACTATATTATCACGTTTTAGCATTAATAACGGCATTTAGCCGTATTTGATGGCAGTGTCAAGAAAATATGGTAAGTGTTATATTTGATGATCATCTTCTATGCTTATATCAATGCAGCCAAAAATTCGCTATTATTACACGCTTAAATCATCATAACTTTAGAGTTCGTTCCAATTTCTAACAATGATATCCTTCACGACTTTTTTTTGTGGCTTTACAGCTTGCGTACAATTTTTTTATTCAACTTTTTCCGATGTTAAATGGTTCCATATTGCGTGGATACTGTAAATTGTCATTCACACATTTGTTTTCTTTGAAAACCTCTATCATGGCTGGCAAAAAAAGTGAATATTTATTTATCTGTAGAGTAAAGACGTAGTTTATTGAAAGTGCTATTATTCGAATTCATAATAACTGACAATAACAACTTGAACTAAATTAACGAATCGACTAACGGGTTCTGAAATGAATACTAGCTCGCAATATTATATAACTTTACCTATTGTTTGCTAGTCATTTCTATTCATCTCGACTAAAGTGGATGTCCAACTCAAGAAAAATGATTCTGTTGTTTAACATTGATCGTCTAAAATAACTATTATGATAAACCTTACTGTTGGTAGCTCAATTTTATTATTAGTAGAAATTCATAGTGGAATAGTAGTAGAAAGTTTGCCTAAAACGTAAAGAAAAATACGCGTATACAGATCGAAGCTATCTATAGATACGCAAAAAGGTTGATGTTAAGAATAGGAGATAGAGGAATAGAATGGATGAATCTAGTAAACCAAAGCTTAATATAAATAGTTCTTTTTTATTTTCAATAGGAATTTAAGGCAAAATCGCGATGAAATGACCGCAATTTGCTTCCGCGATGAAATTCTGAATCTTATGAGGCAACAAGCTCAGCAGGTGAGTTTACTTTATTGATGAAATTGACAAAGTTTTACAATTTTTATTATTTTTATCCTTGGTACCAATTTATCATCTTTATTAATCCAACGTAATTTTTATTTTATGTCTAGTTTTGAAAACTTCATTGTATACTATTTAACCTTAATTGTACTGTGAATCTAGACATATAATTAATAATTAAATGTGTACAACAGCTTGTATAAGAAAAAACAACTTTTGGATTATTTATATAGATACTAAAGGGAAATAGTTTTATGTACTGTACATAATTATCTGCAATTAAGTCTAGACTTATTGCAATACATCCCAGTATTATTTCTCTGATCAATATATCAGCCTTGAATAGCAATAGATACCTTTTTATATTATTGTTACTTACCGTGAATACCAAGTATATTCATGGCGATAACTGCGCATCGTTGGGTATTTGTTAAATGACTGCCTATTTTACTTCTATTACAATGCATCATATTGCTAGACAACATTTTGATTTAATAAATAAATTATCACAATCTTGACCTTTCGCTGAGATACTGTATCTATATAGTTAATTTGAATATGCTTTGATACTGGATCGAATTAACTGAGATTGTCCATCAGTTAAGATACAGCTATCATACTGGATGTCATATGCTATAGATAGATAGTATAAGCGTGTAACAGTACGAAAATCTTGAGTATGATATACTAAATTGTATTTCTTGCATGTTTAGTAACGGTTGGCTGCTAACATACAGCAATCATACTGGATGTCACATGTTATAAATAGATAGTGCTGGCGTGTAACAGTACAAGAATCTGGAGTATGATGTACTAAATTGTATTTCTTGCATTTTAATAACAGTTGGAATCAATAATGACACAAGATTCTTTGCTTCAATGGTCTCGTATGACAAAATATATCGATGATTTCTCCGTATGTGCGCTAACTTACTATTGTAATTGCTAATATGTAGCTGGAGTAAATTCTAATATAACAGATGTATAAATTGATCATTGGTTATATAATATATATTACTGCTTTCCAATTCTGAATGATATGAAGTATGGTTTATAATTATTTATTTATGTCTCAAATTTTATTAAAATGCTAATAGAATCGGTTCCAGAATAATCCAGTCAATTTATTGGAGATTGTTGTTGAATGTCTCGAAACAGAAACTAGATTATGTCAAGAGGTAAAGAAATTATAAAGTAGCCGATAACGCTATATTAATGGATATTGATACAAACAGTAGTGGTTACAGATTGTACTTAACAAACTAGATCAATAAGAAGAATGTGCGGTATAAACATTTTCGTATTTGAATTGGTAACCAAAGAGTTAAAAATTTAATTTGGTGTTTCATTATTCCTCACTATATATCTATAAATATGTACATATATATATGAGCAAAAATATTACTGAAACTGTAAATAATGTCTTATAAGGCCATGATGACATTGCAGAGGACGGGAAACTCTTCGGAATGGAATAATAATAGTAATAATACGAACATCTGTTCGACTGCTGAAGATATTAGAAGAGTATGTAGTCAACTACAGTTAGTAACTATTGAAGCTGAAAATGGCTGGAAGAATATTCAACAACTTGGAGAAAATCTCAATATTCTGTCATATCATTGGAATAAATTTCTTTCTGGTACGTAAGTTATTTCGGGATGGTGTTGTAGCAGTTTTAATTACTAATGTCATCATTATCACTCCAGTGTTCTTTAATTTTAATTTCAAAGTAAAAACTGATAATTACCTGCTTATAGAACACCCTGAATGCAGATATCCTCCTACAGCTGGTGCTAAATATCCTCCAAATCAGGTATTATAAAGGAGCATAATTCTAATTCTTATTATTAGTTTAAGCAACACTTCGGTTCTAGAAACTCTATTCTTAGCCTTCATTAATAATTTACTTTTCTAAATAATCACTTGTATAGGTTCAAGCATTTAAGCAACGCCAAGGTTTATGGAATGATATGCTTGAGATTATAAAATGCCGTAGAGAAGCTGAATTGGTAGGTTATGATCATATAATAAACACTATCGCAATTTAGTGGACGTACCACTGATGATGGCTTGCTATAATTGATTATTATATAGACTATTACAGAAAATTTTACTAAGATTGTTGATGGTGTCAAGCTATTGCACACGAAAGTTTTAGCCGGTCAGTTGTTTGAATGGAAACAGAGGCAAAAAACATTATGTGGCATAGAAAATTTAACTGTCAAGCATTGTGAGGAATTAAAACAAATTCAGTTATGGTGTGAAAGCAGCTTAGATGCCATATGGAGAACTAAAATTTTGGTGGAACAGGTTTGTATTTCAGCCTTAGCTAAAATGATATAATTCAACATTTAAAAATATTTTCTTTCACTTAATGATTCAATTGGCTTCCCTGTTAAGGTTCATGCTGTATGCGATAAAAATCTTATGCCTAATAATGAGCCTGTGAAACCTAGGCTAGACATCATTTTTCAAGAGCTTGAAAGTCTTCTTTGTGAACTTGTTAAAGAGTAATTATACTATTTCAACTGATTCAACATTCGCTTATTGCCTTATTCATTTTTGTAATGGAAATCTCGTTTATTAAATTCTACAGAACCTTTATCATTATGAAACAACCTCCTCAAATTATCAAAGTTGAAACTAAGTTTGCAGCCTCGGTTTGGTAAGATCATGCTTTTGAAGAGTATACAGAAAAACTGCTTCTATGCAGGGGCTATGTCTGTTATAACTTATATATCATGAGACCTATCTGTAATTCTTACTTATGACTGTATATCATGCTTAGCTCCTTAATTGGTACTAAGTTAAATGCACTATCTGGTTTAACGGACGTTAAAGCTCATATATTAAGGTTTGATGTAACTTTTATCGTGTCTAAATGTTGTTAAAAAGCAATTTAAGGTATAAATTGACTAAATTTTATTTTATTTTTTTGATAGCGAATCACAAGTTCGTAGTATACAAAGCGGTAACTTTCCGCCTGAGTGAGTGCTTGAGAGAATAGAACTGTTGTTTGCTTGATAGTGTATGATGTGACAGTTGGAAAGTTTGCGTTAATATAACTCATATTACTTTATTTTCAGCCTAGAAGCTAGTGGTAAAATTTTGAATAGTTGCAAGGTATGCGCTATTACGACCTAGATTTAAAACGTTTGATTACACACGTTAAAGAGAATACTTATATCACTGATTACGTATTGCAGCCTATGCAGTTTGATAGTCAAACCAGGATGTGGAAAGTTGATTTAACAAATATGGTATGGGGCCGTTCACTTCAATTATAATCATAAACTGCATTCAAGGTAGTGAAAACTTTTGAAAATTTATTAATTTAACATTTGTGCTTGTTTATTTTGTTAGAAAATTGGAAGGAGAGCCTCAACAAAGGGTGAAGAGGTAGATCTTTCAAAATTTTATATAAAAATTGCATAAAAGTTACTGAACTTGAATTTCTTTTGTGCCATAGATGGTTACAGAACTGAAATTTGCTATATTATTCACGTCGGAATTTGCTATTCAGAATAAAAAGATTGTAGTTCGGGTATTTTAGTTATAATTAAAATTATCTAATTCTACTATTAACGTTCATAAATTGAATACTGTATTTGCCTTACTGGACGAGATGAATACCTGATGTTTGGTATTATATAGTGATATAGTGTATAATATCTAGTAATCAGTTGAATTATTGTTATGTTATACAGGATCTATCTTTACCAACGGTAGTTATAGTAAATACCAATCAGACCGCCAATGCAATGGGCACGATCGTTTGGGACAATTATTTTTCTTCTCCGGTACTGATAATATTTCACTTTTTGTGAATTGAATATATTTTTCGAAGATGAAAGGGATGTGATTACATTCCATTTCTATTATAGAATCGCGAAGGTTTTGAAGTACCAAAAGAAGCAAAATGGCCAAGTGTTGCGCATATGTTAAATACAGAATTTCAAAATAGAGTTGGTAGTGGTTTAACTGAGGAAAATTTGCAATTTTTAGCGTCAAAGTTATTAGGTTGGCAATCTTTATAGAGCTGTTAAGGAATTGCAATTTTTCCTTAAGGTTTACTCTGAATTTACTCACTGGCTGATATGATAGGTGATATGAATCCGATGAAGGTGGATTTATCTTGTGCTGCTGTTAGTTGGCAGAAATTTATTAAGGTAACTTTATGTTGCACATGGCATGATTGCAGTACTGTATGCATCACAATAAGGCAGGTTTTCTAATCTAGCCATTTAATCCAAAATACTACTTTTACCTTCAGATACCCAATTCAGAATTTAACCAACCGTTCTGGAAATGGTTTTACACCATTATGGATTTAATGCAAAGTAACACAGAGCTTAAAGCAATTTGGTGTGAAGGGTAGGTCGAGTACTCGGATGACTATGCTTAAAAAAAATATTTTTCATATCATATTATATCTATATTGTTAAAATTTTTTCTTTTTTATGTAGGTCATTTGTTGGATTTATCACTAAAGAACGAGCGAAAGAAATTTTATTGGGTTGTGATCCGGGAACTTTTCTACTAAGATTTAGTTCCAGAAAACCTAAGGCCATTAGTATTTGCTACACAGGGATTGGAGATATGGGTATTTGAGTACATGCATATTGTCTATTTATGCGGGTGTGATGCAGTTATAACAAATTTTTTACTTGACTTTCAGGTCAAAAAGTTGTGGAGTTTCCCCAACCTCTTGATGAAAAGAACTTTACTGCATTAAAGACATTATCAGAATGGTATATTGGCGATATTACTTACTGTTCTAAGATTCGCTATGTTAGAAATGTTTTGTTATAACATGTAATGAACTGCGTTTACGAGGTATACGTTTCTCTCTGCTATAGTTTAATTGACATTCCTCAGTTCGTATATGTTTACCCGAGAGGGATCTCCAAAGAGGAAGCCTTCCGTAGTCATACTAACAAAGCACCGAAGCTACCAAAACAAGGTAAATTTGAAGCCTCCAAAATTTAACCGCATTTGTCGCGGACTGTTGGTGACCTAGATAACTTTTTTAATAATTTTGGTTAGTGAATGATGCAACATCAAAGGAAAATGGTAATAGTATCTACGTTCCTTTGTTAACGTGGAAGTTAATCCTAAATGGAAAGTAGGTTTTTCATTATATCATTTTATAGAATAGTTGTAAATTGTCTTTATTTGCCAATTGTCATGCCAAAATTGCTTATTGCATTTTTCATTCTGGCTATACGAATGTTGTGTTTAGCACCAATTCTGGTTCGATGTCTACATGTACAACTCCAGCTCCAGAGACGGTAACATTTTACTGTATACAATTTATAAAGTGTAGATTTCAGATTTCTTACCCTGACTTTTTTTGTAATAGCCTCAATCAATGACAACAACAGTTGAGACAGAATGCGAAATGCCTGACCTGAGCGGAAACTATATGGAGCCACATGATAGCATTGCTGACGAAATCAATATTCGTGAGAATTTGCAAGCGGAATTTCCAGATCAAGCGAGCTTTTTAGGTCACTCGTCATATGATAATAGTGTAATGTGATAATTTATAGGACCGCAAACAATCAGTTTTAAAAAATAAGAGTAGCTATAGCTATTTTTACCTGTGCATATTAGCCGATGGTCACTGGTAATCATGCAATAGTATTAGCCAATTTTTCCCGAATTTTACAGCTAACTATGTGAAACCATACATTGTATTTTATCTCTTAGCCTGATGATGCCTGAATGTCGGCACATTTTCTGCATATATAATTGATGTGATGTATTGATGTAAAGTTACTTGCTTTCATTTCCATCTATGCAACTTCTTATTAAGTAAGTATATGCGATAATCTACTATTATTGACTAAGTATCTTTTACTGTACTCTCTCGCCTGTAACATCATATCTGTACTAAGGTTTCAACTGGGATAGACTTTAAGTGTGTATTTATGATCTGTATGCAGTGCTCTGTGCCGTAAATAGTAATTGTTAGATACAGTCATTGCATAGCTTAATTGTAGCCTCATTCGTAGGCTAACTGCAGTGTGCACGTATAGTACTTTAATAAGGATAGTATCGACCTTAAGCTGTAATCATAATAATAATTTCTTGCCGACACCGTCTTTTTCACTGTTTTGTTTAGTATTAACAGCATACGTTCTCGTATGCAGTATAACTAGGATGATATACGAGTTTCATTTGTTGATGCGCTCTGATTTATTTGTAAGGTGTACCCAATATAATACAATCAATTGTTGCGTATAAGGTATTAAATAATTATCAAAGTCGCTAAATGTCGCCTTGATGGAATTTCCGTCTCCATTTTACAAATGATTGAAAACATTAGAGCAAATTACCCAAGATATCACCAATTATGACTTACTGTCATATAAACTAGAAATATTCTTTTATGTACAGTGCATGGTTTATTAAATATGCTGAGTATCAGGTTGTTTAGAACTCAAGTGAATGTGGGCACAGTGCATGTTTATATCCAGTCAGTGTAGGGATGCACGTAATACCGTAGAAACTGCTTTACATTTCAGCGGTATACACTGGCAATAGGCTTCTTAATACCGAGAGCTAATGTACACTTTACAGCTTGATTAACATGCATAAGGAATAAGTATGCCACACAGTCATCTGTAGCTATTTCAGATACTAAAATGTAGCATACCTAATTGTTAAAAGTAAAGCTCAAGCAAATATTCTAACAAAATTGATAGTATCGCTAAGTTACCAAGCTATCATATTTACTATAGTATCAATGCGATGTGAAAAAGAGATAATCAAAGAATCGCAAAATTAATTTCTACATGTAAATAACTAAATAAGGCAATAAGTAATTGCACGCATACTTTTTGAATGAAGATATCTGTATTGTTAAAGACAAAATATAGTCTCTACTAATGATGAAGAACGATATCCCATTTTTAGTAACCTATTTCAGTTTGTAAATGGAATGAAGTTTATTAGCTTGTAGAGCATCATTAAAACGAAGCAGCTTTGATAGATCGGTTGCTTTCTTGCTTTATCAACTATTTCTTGAGATAGGTTCGATATTGGATGTCAGGTATTATTTTAGTAAAGAACTACAATAATTATAAGGGCAGTCGACTAGAAGTAAAACTTTTTCTAATAGTGAATGATCAATCTACTTTAAAGCCGATGGTGCAATGTCCACATGGGCTTTATTCGTCATAGATAAAAATTAGCAATCAATAAGACATCAGCGATAAAATTATTATATAGGTAAATACAGGGTAGGTTCTAACCTTCTCATTGCAACACAATCGATGCCTCTCATTCAAATAATTTTATCATACAGATCGTGTCCCAGTCTGTAATAGGCTAAATCAAGGCGACGCATGTACTACAACATAATAACTTAAAACCACTTATAGTAAAGATAAAATAGTAGTTATTTCATTTTAGACCATACATTGTACAGAGGGATATCATTACTAGGCATAGCCATTTCACAAAATGCCTGATTACGTCAATTTCCGGTAACTCTAGTACAGTATACTCGACATAGTACTATATGATATTAGCTGTCAATTAACATGTAATTTTCAGTAGTTATTTCCGGCAATAACTTGATTGCCAGGTATTGATTGTAAGTTGTATTCTCCACAGTAATTGATTGTTTGGATCTGTACTCGTTAATTTAGTTGTTGTCTGGCAGCTGCCATGTCTGCCAGACTATTAAACTGGAAGTCAGGTTTGACTGGATGGGAAGGTTCCGGCGTCGCTCCCCAACCTGACTTATTATAGCGTCGATTAATCCAACATGTTGCCATTCCTATCGCTTTAGCCGGTACATGATCATGAAATAAACTCTGGGCTGTATGTAAGACTTTACTGGCTTGTATATCACAAGTTGCCAAGTTATCCAGTAAATACTGAAAATTTCGCTGATTGGGTTTATACGATCCAATGTCCTGAGCCGAAAAGACGTAATCAAATTCAACGCCTAATTTGTTAATGCTATGTTGTATGGATTGGTTGTCTATATTGGAAAGTATGGCTAATTTATAGTAACGCTTTAGTGTTTTTAAAGCATCATGAGAGTCGGAAAAAGTTGGCCAATCTTTAACCGACAAGCTAAAGCGGGTTGCTTCATCATCCGTCGAATGGATGATATTCCACTCTTTTGCTAAAGCTTTATGAACACGATATAAGATATCCGTATAGACTATACCAGGAAAATCGTGCTCAATCTTCGATTCATGGCGTGCATACATTTCCAAGATGGTGGCATCCGTCAGCTCAATCTTGTGCTGGTTTAACCAAGGCTTGAGCGCTTGAAGAATACCACTCTCCCAATCGATTAAGGTGCCGTAGCAATCAAAAGTTAAAACATCGAAATCAGATAGTTCCATCATCACCCTTAATAATAACTGAAATCGAAATTGTTAATCTTCCAATGGCGATTCGTCTCTCCAGCAGTATCTGGTCTCTGTTAAGCCCTAGCAACTCTGTGCAAACTGATTTCCCCAGTAATGACTATTTAAGATACTACACCAACACATACTGAATTACCCATACTGGACGACTGTCATTCGTAAGGGTTTGTTAGGGAAATAAATACGACACATACAGTATCACCATGCCTACTGTACTCTACAAGTAGTCTAGTCGTCGATTACTGTAACTTTAAGTTAACTGCAGCCATCAACTACTGCTAGACTTCTAGAAATATACTCCGGCAGGATATTTCTGCATTTTTAGCAGTCTCTGCTAGACTGTTAGTACCGGTAGACATCGATGCTTTCCAGTTCAAGAGCGGTATTAAGGCCTAGTAAACTCTGACCATTACGTCACCTCAGCTTGCAAAAACCGAGTACTACACATCGCTAAAACAGCTCGATCCGTTCTCTTGTCCCAACTAAACCTAATACCAGCTATGTCTAATCTTAATAAAATTGTATCAAACTTTGATATTAGGTAGAGTAGAGACAAGAGAATCGATAAAGCTGTTGCAACGATCTGGAGTAGTAGGTTTTTTTGCAAGTTGGAATGCTTACTAAGAGTTTACGGCCCTGATTGTTATTCCATTCACTACAGAGGTTTGATTGCGAGCGTTTTAATTTAGGATACATTTTCGATATCAATCGATAGAATCAAAAATGAGCATTGGCATGGCATAGGTAAGTAAAGACTCCAAATTGCCAATGATCAGTGTAATCTGCTGAGTTGATAAGTCAAAATTTGCAGTTGAAAGGTAATCTTGAGTTCCGTCATGGTGTAGACTAGAGTCTGCCCTACTTACTATATTCATCATTTCGTCTTCGCTTCCGTCCGTACTTATCCGTCATTTCGTCTTCGCCTCCGTCCGTACTAATCCATCATTTCGTCTTTGCATCCGTCCGTACTTATCCGTCATTTCGTCTTCGCTTCCGTCCGTACTTATCCATCATTTCGTCTTCGCCTCCGTCCGTACTTATCCATCATTTCGTCTTTGCATCCGTCCGTACTTATCCGTCATTTCGTCTTCGCTTCCGTCCGTACTTATCCATCATTTCGTCTTCGCTTCCGTCTGTACTTATCCGTCCGTACTTATCCATCATTTCGTCTTCACTTCCGTCCGTACTTATCCATCATTTCGTCTTCGCTTCCGTCCGTACTTATCCATCATTTCGTCTTTGCATCCGTCCGTACTTATCCATCATTTCGTCTTTACGTCCGTTTGTACTTATCCATCATTTCGTCTTCGCTTCCGTCCGTACTTATCCATCATTTCGTCTTCGCTTCCGTCCGTACTTATCCATCACTTCGTCTTCGCTTCCGTCCGTACTTATCCATCATTTCGTCTTCGCTTCCGTCCGTACTTATCCATCAATTCGTCTTTGCTTCCGTCCGTACTTATCCATCATTTCGTCTTTGCTTCCGTCCGTACTTATCCATCATTTCGTCTTCGCTTCCGTCCGTACTAGTATGGCTGAAGATTGTCTCTTACGCCATACTGGTATAATGGTATAAGAGAGATTACGAATTTCTCGATCTCTAGTGTACTGTAGTTTAGCATACTAGTGTATGGTAACCTAGACCTACGCCGATAACCAAACAGTCATCGTAGTTCTCGTAGGAGGCGTTGCAAGCCAAAGTATGGAGGAAGAGCTATGCGATGTCTTCTCCGATTGCATGATATCTCCAAATCCAGATGCTTCTATTGCAAATATTCAACGCCACGTTCATGAATTGGAAACATTAGTTCAATTAAGTAAATCTCCTACCTATAGGTAAGATAGACTGTATAGATAGACCAAAGAGTATACTGTATCATCGATACTGTGTACATGAATGCAATGTTGTTTTGTGCAGCAATAGGAAATCACCTCAATGGATTAAAGTAGTTTACTCTTTACGTGTAAGCAATATTGTTTGATGTAGCAGTGGAGATGAGCTTAATTGATTAAAGTAGACTTGATGATGGTTAGGCACTTTGAAATACAATAGTATAGCGTACAGTAATTCAGTTTTTATACGGTAGTATACCGAACCATGACTTAGCAGAGATCGACGCTCATGCAGTGTTGCTTTGTTGCCAGTTCAGTATTGTAAACTGTAGGATGTTAGATTTCACTTTTTCTAAAATAACCTGGTCATCTACTGTACACCTAATATAGATCTACTCTGATTGAAAGAGATAACATTTGAGTCTAACATTTTGCATGTGAGCTTTATATCATGTTCTTACAACCTGCAGCTGTAGTTAAATATGCAGAACAATATGCCCAATACTTGGAATAGAAGATATTGATTACTGCATGGCTATTGTAGACATAGCGATGATAAATGCCTCCAAACTTTCTACCGTTTAGTAAGCAATCAGTTGTTTACATTGATTGGAATCAGTAATGGCCAATATTATCTTCACTTTAATAATGGAATAGGCTTTGATTTTTTAACTGTATGCCATTGAACCAAACTGATATGTATGCAATATACTGCACTAATTGCAGAGCTGAATCACATCAACGAGATATCAATTTTGCGAAAGACCTAATCGTGACATATTTTGCGCAACTGATACGTCAAGACAGTGTGAATGATGATTTAGAATCGGCAATATTATATGGACTAAGATATTTACGTAATGTTTGTGTCGAAGCTCCGCATGGTCAGGAATATTTATTGTAAGTAACCAAATAAAATCCCCCAAATGAATCCTAATCTTAGGGTATTATGATCAACACTGGAAAATTTTTTACCGGCTACACTAGAGTCTACTCCATTTATGTGATTTTTAGTATATCCGATTGATACGATTTAAATAGATGGTAGCTTATCTAGCTTGATTACTAATAGATTGGTGTTTTACTGGAAATATGAACTGTTTAGAGAATAGCTAAGCGATAATTGCCAGTCTATAGATTAAAGTTTAAATTATCGTGTATTCGTACATCTTATCTGAATAGATACACCTTGTATAACTTTCATTCATTCTAGCCATGTGCAAGTTCACCTTCTCACTGGCGAATTGATCTTACAAACCCTTCAAAGCCGTATAACTTTACAGAATAAATCGGGTAGGTGCCAATGCTAAGCATCTTTATAAAATTCGATTTAAAAGAGTAATGATTTTTGCTGTTTCTGCTGCTGTAATTTTTAATTGATCGGATTAGCGGAGCGCCTAGACGTCTACTCTTCTCTATAATCTATAATCGATACGATAACATATACACAATTCTCATGCTACCTACTGCATTATTGTATACTCAGTATAATTTCATTACTCCTAATTAAGCCACCTTTTCAAAGTTAAACTGGATAAAGTAGATATTTAAATTGCGATTTGTTAGTTATCTAATATTTTAAACTGATTTTTGTAATCTCTTTGCGATCTTGCAGTAATTTCTATACCACGAATATGCATGCAAATTCTATGCAATATGTCAGTTCAACAAACCTTTATTCAAAATGAAATTTGGTCTATGTGCTATGATAGAATATTCTAGTAAGTATCAATAAATTATTTAGTTGTTGCTATCATTATAATTGTTTTACCTTTGAATAATATACAACAAAAACTTGGTAAAAAAAATTGAGCATAAAAATAAGGTTGCTATATGTAAATTGACACTAATTTATTTGTACGGGTAGTGTTGGATTAAACTGTAGTGATGAAGTTGTCAGAGCCTATACTTGCGCTACACTGTATAATACGCTTTCAGGGCAGGAAAGGTAGGATAAAGATTCATAAACTTGGATGTGTTAGCTTAAATGCTATATATCCAGCTATTGAAATAAACTGTGTTCTATTTTCTAATTTACAAAGTTTAATGATAAATATTTATCCTTTGCAGATCTCTCTGCGATCCGCTTCGTGGCCGACCTATAGTGATGGCAGTTTTAGAATTGCAAACATGTGAATGGAGGTAACTACAATGTAACTGATTTAATCACATTATATCATCTTAGAGCTCATTCCATACTTTATTATATTTAACGAATAGTAATCTTTTGGCATTTATTCAACTATCGAGGTATCAAATTCGTCTGGAAATAACCAGGATCTTGTTGACTACATTCTAGGGAATTTGTAATTGAGAGGCTTTTACAGGAAAACTTTTTACCTGATTTATTTGACTGTTTAGAAAATCAATGCCATTTGACGTTACTTAAACACGTAGAAGTCTTACTTAAACGTAAGAATCGCCTTACCCACTGTGCTTCATATTGAAAAAGGAAATGATATTGAAAGTATTTGCTTATTTACAAATTTAAATTTCCCTTAAACTAAATCACAGGCGATATCAGTAATCCATATGTAAATGGAAGTATTTATCTCCGTCAACCAATTATACCGGAAAATACCTGTCTCTATATATCAGATAAATTTCTGTCCATTTGTGGTGTAATTGCACAATACGCAAATACTCGCCAATTTACCGAAGAGGTTGTAAATATTACCTTTTACCGAATAGTACACTTATATCTTACTACCAGCCGTGGTAGTGATAGCTTATTTCATATACTTTTGTTATCCTTGGATCTATTCTTACAATTCAATTGCATTTATTTTGATTAGATGCAACTTGCAATGAAATTATTGGATATTTTAGGCTATGCAACGAGCCTCAATACTCTGTATCCGAATCTTCATAATCAGCTGCTTTTAGTTAGAGCTGCTTTGGAATTACTCAGGTCTATTTACGAAGTTGATCAACAATCGGATGGTGGTATTTTTAGCAAAATCCAAGACACTCCAACCGAATTAAACAATCCGGGTAGTCATACTGACAATTTAAAAAAGAATTTGATACGGTTGATAGGCAATATGTCATACCGAAATCGCATCATTCAAGATGAGGTATATGCATACTGATAGTTGGAAAAATATTAAACGTTTCTCCTTCGGTATGCCTTTGTCATACTGATGTTTGTACGATATTTTCTAGATTCGTATTTTAGGTGGCATACCGTTGCTGCTAAATCAATGCAGGTTTGACGTTTGCAACCCATTTGTCACACAATGGTGCATATTAGCAATTAGGAATCTTTGTGATGAAAACATAGAAAATCAAAATGTTATTGCTGAGTTGAATATTAAGGGTGTAGTTAACAGTACTGCATTAAATGAGCTAGGACTTGAAGTAACTATGCAAAGTGGCAGAATTAGAGTCAAACAAAAAGAGCACGATAATGCGAGTATATAAAATGTATAGATTTCATACATTTGTTAGGCTATCTATCTCTTTGAAATTTAAGTTAAAATCCTAAACTTGCAGATATCGAAATTTTGAAAATACTTTTAGCTTTAGTTTACGAATATACTAAATAATTAAAATAATAGTTTTCACTAGGTTTAAAATAATAGTATAATTTCGTAAACGTGTACATTCGTATCTTAAATATATTTTGGATTAGAAGTGGCCCTTGTTTTAAATCTTCAAAGTTTAATCGCCGTAAAATGGTAAATGTTGGAAACGTAATCAACGTAGACAAAATTAATGTATTATAGCAGAAGTGAAATGATATTTTTGGCATAATGTATGCTTCTGTCTATTCTCATACGAGTGCATCCATGATTTACTTCTGCAATACGCTAACGGATTCTTCGAATGCAATACGAGTATGGTCCGAATTAAGCGAATTGATCAATTTTAAAAATTTTTTTCAATGTGCCGTAAATAATCAATCAAATGTAACCATTACAATAAAATCACGGAATTTGACTTATTACAGAAGTCCATTTGATTTACTGAAAAGTAATGCAGTGTGCTGTCGTGTACCTAAACCACATTATTTTAATGCAAAGAAGCAGAGCCATTGCAGCTAATGTTTGATCTATCAATTAATAACCATTACAATTAACTATAGAATAAGATTGTGCTTATATCGAGAGTATCACTTGTGTGTACCAAACTTATCAGCTATATCTCTAGTTCATCTGAAATTTGTAAATACTCAGTTTAGCCACATACACCTTGAGTATCTTTAGTGAGCCTGTCCATTGTTTCGCTAATTATCTATTTACGCGCCATGACGCAATCAAGATCGCACCAGCTTGGTGTACAGACTATTACCCACTCTTACTTTTCTAGGCCGTATGTAACATACGGTAAAGATATTAACAACTAATTGGTTCTGAATTACTGACGTTAGCTGCATATTTTAAAACTACACCACCCTTTCAAGCCTAATCTACGGTCTATACCATTACATCGCATATCAAGATAAAATTTGAATTTATTTTACTGTTAGATGATATATTTTCAATGTTAACATTTTTCTTACAACAATTTATTACCAATGTAACATTAAATGACTCGTCAGGATAAGGTTACATATTAATTACAGAGAACTAAAGATCAGCAAAATCAAAATAATTGACGAGCTTATTACAATGACTGTAAAGTACAGTTCTATACTATAACTAAACAAAGTAACGCAATATTTTTCAAACTAAATTCATAAGGCCTTGAGCAGCAAATTTTTAAAATTACAAAATGGACTTGATTATCTGCAAGATTGAGAAATATCACAAATACAGAATTTTAATTTTCGTGAAAGTTTTCGTTGATTCCCGGATACTCTTCAAAAAAGGTCTATTGCGTAATAGGATATGTAAACCGTATTATCAGTACTATAAAGAAATAAATTTGCAAGCAACTGCTCTTATGATATGAGTGCTATTCTAACCATGAAAAGCTCTATGATTCTAACATACGTTATGAAATTAACCGCAGACTGACCGAATTTATTCCACTACAAACTATTATTACCTTATATAACTCGGTCGCCTGATAGACACCAGTAGTGCAACACATCTCTCGAATTGAATGCATTGCCAGTTGAGGATTTCCAATATCTAAGGTGTCAAACCCAAAATAAAACTTAATGCAATCTATGGTAGGATAACCATAAAAATTCAGAATTTACACTAAGATTGTATCAGTAGAGTGCTGTCATAGAGTAAGCCGCATACCAATAGTACGCAAACCCAGTTTGGCAGACAGGATAGGTCCAATGGTACTACCACAAGCGACGTCATTTCTTACTACAAAGTCCTAAAAATATATGAATTCATACAAGACTGAAAATTTATTATCCCAGAATGAGGCTGTACTACTGTACTGACTGCCTTTATAATATACTACAAATCTGAAATATTTTATTTGTTAACAAAATACTGACGTTTGAATTAAAATGCAGGCAAAATTTTTACTAAATGTCAGAAAAATTAGGATCATATTCACCTGTAAAGGTACGTTGCATTTATGCGCTACTTCCCTTAATATTGCTGAGGTGACGGCCGTAGTCGCATACCGTTGGTTTGCGTTAAACTTTATTACAGGACCCTGAATTTATTCGTCATTGGTTAGAACTTTTAGAAGGAGTGATTTCTAAAAATTATTCTATAGTTATAGTAATCAAATCCAAGACATACAACGTTATAAGTCCATAACGTGTGAAATTTACCTTATGTAATGCCGGCTGATGATCGTCTTCGTGCTTGTGTCTGCATAGATAACATGTACAACCGATTTAACTACATGAGATTATTTCATTACTTTCTACACAGGCTGCAATAATAACAGCTATTCATTCACTAGAGACTACGAACATAGTAAAAGGGTACATCGCTAAATACATAAACTGTAAGTGGCCCATACCCATAATTTGGATGCACAGCATGGGCTTGATCAGCACTTATAAGGAAGGACTTTGCAATACTTTCTTCAAAAGCGGTTGTAGAGCCACCTAAATTATTGCAATGCGAAAGCAGTTTTTCAAAATGAAGGTTTTAAATTGGCTTCCTTTAATAGTTAAATAACCTGCAGAAAGTCTTCGCAAAGTATATTCTGTAGCCGATGATCCGGCTCCTTGGGCACTCTGCGATCCAACCTATATATGTTTGCAAGTACGCTTACGTTACACTCGAAGTCTGATATCATTAAGAATAACTATAGCTAACCTCTTCGTTATCATATAGGCAGATCATTCGAATATTTGGATCATCTTTCAGCGAGTTCTCATTCTGAAGTGAATCTAATAGTCCCTATCATATGCAGTACATTTAAGACAAATTTTATAATAAGTGTTACAGGCATATTTAATCTACTGATTTATGCTATCATAAGACGAACCTGTAAAGCACAGAAACAATTCATCAAGTTGTCCAATCTAGGTGAGAAAATGAATTCGTTTAGAGCGCCACCAATAGCCTAAAGTATATATAGTTGTTAAACACAAATCAGATGATTAGCAAGTATCGTACATTCGCTTTAACATGGAATTTTCTGGCTCAAAATTAAGTAATAACATAGCGAATTCGATATGGGATAGGTAGCGCGTTAAATTTTAACGTTTACATATTCTGAAATGACTAGATGTGCAGAGGGCCGACAATGCGTTTGTTTCGTGTTAATCACATTTAAACTACAAGTGGAGGAAGAAGACTTACGGCAGGCTGCGTATCAGCCAGGCATAATTCAAAATCTAAAATATGTTCTGGCTTGCATGAAATCTCGTCGCAAATCAATTTTATAAGAGCTGAATGATGCTTTGATGCCTGAAATAAATTAATTATTGATACAGGCCATTAACGGTTGGCTTGCACATGGACCAATTAACAATATCAAACTAACGTAATTTTTACGTACCTGCTGACCAATATGATTAGTAGACTTTTGTAATTCTTGCTGGATACATGTCGCAAGAACAGGCACACTGTACAGTATCAGTTGTTGATGAATGATTAATGGATTGCAGTTGTATTTGATTCGTATAGTCAATAGTAATTATTTTTCAATTCATTTTACCCCATAACAGATAGCGTAAATCACTTTCCATTTACAATGTTACAAATTATTTGTTATCAGAAACACATCATGATATAATTCTTACATCTCGGTTTCTTTGTTAGCTCCAAAATTATCATTTTTACTACGATCTAGATGTATACATAAATGCGGAACTCGCAATATCGGACGCTTGATATGTATTAACTGGTCTCCAATACCGTTTTCATCCTGTCATAAGAATGTTATAGCACCACAATTAAAGATAGCAAAAGATATCGCAATTAAGCATCTACAGTTTACAGTAATATTGGAAGTACAGCAACCCATTCGTGGAGATAACATTACAAACGCATGTGTTTCTTTATAATTCTAATTATGATACCTTCAAGATGATATTACTGTAAAAGTGGTAGATGAGATAATCTGTCGGATATTTAACAGTAAGTACGCCATTATAGCCTGAACATGATATGACCAGTGGTCATACACAACTACCAAGAACAAGTGCATGAAATGGAAACCATTTGCTAATACTATGAAAAGGTAATGTGACTATCATAGCCACTTTAACCATGATAAACGACCAACATGAAACCTAACCTCAATTCCATGATTGCCTACCATACACGAACATTAACAGAGAATTTTACTTACCTTTGTTAAAACTCTGCCAGCGACAGTTAAATCACGATCAAACCACGTATTCCAAATACCGCCGCCATAGCATTGAACTCCGACACATAAGTAATCCCTTTTAATTTTTTTGGAGATTGGCTTAACCTGAAAGGAACAGAAATGGATTATAAATAACGAAGGGGAACCTTGGCTTAGGGGTAACATTATAAACATATTAAGCAGTGTTACGTCATATGATGGGTATTCTTCCTGATTACTAAATGAAGAGTTAGTAGTTGTGTCATCATGACTACGATGAAGGACTATTATTATAATAATAAAATAGGTGGCTTATAACTTGTAGCAGCAGCTAGTCATTATAACATGGCTACACCACTGTCATTTCCATGCCTCTGCTTTAATGTTGTTGACTTGAATACTAGACGGTTACAATGTATCCGTTATTGACAATATGATGAAGGTGTTGGATATATTAATCGACTTGATATAGTAGGAGATTAAGTTTACAGACCTTTAAGCATGGGCTATCGGTATGCGCTCCAACTATACTAAAGCCATTACCAGGCTTGTATTTGCCACCAACAGCAAATGCAATAATGGTCGATCGATTTTTCTGCGTAAAGTACAGTCCATTGGGCACTATCGACCATGGTTGTCGCTCATCCAGTTGTCGAAAGCCAGCAGGCCCAAGGCGTCGCTTGACTTCTTCAACCACTGCAAGATAATTAGAAAATAATTCGGGCTGATTGATTAAGCATGTTCGAGTAAGTATAACAGTGATCGCTCGTATTTCATTTTAACTAACATCTCATTGACTATCCATGAATTATTCTCTGACTACAGTTTGCTTAGGGATTGAAACACCTATTTATCTCAGGAAAGCCAGATTGGCTCACATTGAGTACCATAGTAACGAAAACAAGAAGGCAAACTCGTTTGCAGAAACGTCATAGCGAAGATTGTACAAGAGTAATAGTCGTCTCTCATTAGAAATGGAAGGCATACATGAGCCTATAACATCATATTAACCTCACACTATTGAAATGGACTTTTCATAGATTACTTTTTCACGTCTTGAATCAACTAACAAGAAAACTATTGCCATTTTCTCACTTACGACAACATTCACAACAACAACAAAATTAGACCGAACAAAGACTCCGTAAGTTATAGTGAGTGCGTCAAAAGAGTTTCAATTGCCTCTTGCTAAGCGTCTATTTTTGGTCATCTTCTGTCGATAGAATTACCGTGAAATGGGGAAGGCCCACGATTAACGAAATGGATCAATTCTTCTGCTGCTTGGAAAATATTCGACTCCATGTTCCTGCTTTCTTGCAACAACAAGACGAGATCTGATGAAGATTGAGGTCTTGCAAAAGCTCTTATACTCTACTATAGAATAATGCGAGCGTTTGCGTACTGTATTGTGGGCAAGCTCAGCGTCGACCAAAGCAACCAATATCAAATTATGAATTAAACTAGGCTGATAGTGTCGACTATCATGAGCATTAAACTATACTGATTAATATCACGTGTATAGGATGTATTTCAACGATGATTGACTTTATTATGGACCGCTATGACAATATCATACAGTCAACTATTCAGGAGATTAACCCTAGGGCAAAAGGTATACCCCATTATTGCCATAGTGTAGGAAATAATTTGCCTTGTAGATAGTCAAAGCCAATCGAGGAAAGCGAATTGAAAGCCTAAAGGGTTAATTGATAATTGAAATGTGTGATGAAATAGCAAAGCAATCCAACATGCCCCATATAGCACTCATCAGTTGAAAAGGAATCATAATAAGAATCCAAATAGACCCGGTAGTAGTGCAATTTTAATAAACAGCATCAGTTACCAAGATACTTGTTTTGAGCTATTTACTACTGATTATCTTGTTGAAGGAGAAAATAAGAATTGAATGCTGTGTATTGAATGTATATCTACAGTAATGGACTGTCAGTAATGTAGCCAGGCAGGGTAAACACACATGAGGTATCCGTAAGAGTTTGCCCAAGCCGCTTTGGCTGCACTATTTGTCAGCGTGAGTAGTATTGTCCAAGCTAAATCTATTTGTTAAAGATATACAGAAACGAAGACATAGACGTACAGTATTACAATAATATTGAAAGTATCATATCTTTTCCTGGTAGCCAATTAAACTTTTTATTCATTTATCCTCTACATCATATCCAAGTCTAGGTAATATACAAGAGATTTGTATATAATTATCTTAGTTGACTGCTCATGTCGGGTAAGGATATGACACGCGAATTAGGTATAACTTACTTATTAATATACCGTATGTATTATCTTTGATATCGTTAGCCAAGGTTAAGGATCATACGTATTTCGCTTACAGTCAACTACGAGCAAGAATTGCTGTAAATAAACTAAATATTCTGATTAAATCATTTACCCTTACACGTATACGATATTCACCTTTCATATATACATAATATAATGGAATATACTGGCTATTGCAATTGCTTGAAAGTAACTATAAATTGATTTCATTTTATCTGTTTTTGTATCCGCCAAGCGATATACTCAAGGAATAAACAATATGCTGAGAAGCACAGCACTGGTACTCAACAGGTTTTGTTTAGAACAGGCTTAATAGGTAGAAACCTTTGATATTGTTTTATGTGATCATTGATTAATTAATTGATAATGTCGTAATCTTAATATTACAATAAACTTACGGTGAATGAATGGTAAATAAATAGCCTAAAGCACGCGCTATTCACTCAACTTTTCTGGAGAAAATTGATAGACTGGAAAAAAAATAGTATTCTACCGCATTAGGTTCGTTTAGGATAAAGCGGGCGAAGGTAGCATTATGGATTACTGTCTTAACTGAATATACAACTGTAAAAAAAGGTCATTCTACTTTTAAAAGCATTATCGAGTTTATAAATATACTAGTAATAAAGTCGTATACGAAAACAGTCATTCCTGCTTGGTAAAAATAGTGTATCTGCCCATCGGTAATAAATGCCATCGATATTAAAATCATTTTTCAGATAGCTATAATTAGCTAGGATCGTTAATGAATTTAAGACACAAGGTTATGATAGGCCACCGTACGGATAGCCTGCATCAGGCCATGGCTATTATAGAAGGTCTTAAATAGCGGTACTTCATAAAAAATAATTATTTTTATTAGTCTACGTAGAAGATCGTCGCTTTATCTTTCAAGTGTGCAGTAAAGTTAGTTAGATAGAAAGTACTGTGCTAACACTTTAGTCGTAGTGGTCGCTAATGACTTTAGTAATATCATCGGAGAAAAAAACAACTCAGTCTTGCTATTGAATAATGACAGAAGAGGAGATTTCGTTCGTTATTTTCGTTCCTTTTACTTAAATAATCTTGATACTATACTCGTAAAATGAAGTTAATGGCTAGGCATTATAATTTACTATAAATTTGATATTCTTACATGATTCTATTTTATTTTGTATAGATTTAATATCGAAATCATATAGCGGTGCTATCGTTTAAATAACTGTTTATAAATGCCATCTTGTCCCGTGATATTCCATAATACTGTTATATATAAAATAGCTCTCAGTACCGTAGCCCGTAGGCGATGTTATCTGTTACCTTCAATTGTTATGTGATTGACGGTTTAGATTTCATCTACTCCTAGCCTTATCAAATTAGTGACCTAAAATGTTTTAGATATTATTTATCACCGATAAGAAAATTTTGATACTTTATGTTGATACCTATGCACCCGTAATTATATTAGCATTGCAACTCGAACATTAAGAGATAGTGAACAGCTTCATAGCAGCCATATCTTTCAAGTTATTGACAGCTTAAAATAAAAATGATATTTAAAACCTAAATACATTAATCGCAACGTATAGCAAGTGCAGATTATTCGATATTCTATATATACAAAAAGAAAGGTTAAGAACTTATTGCTAATGTCTCGGTTGTGTGTTTGAATTTTTATAATATATTAATTACAGATCTTATTGTATGACAGTACTCGGTAAGAATCCTTCTTGAGCCATCAGTAATTACATTTAAGATAATCATTACTCGTTATTCATTCTAACTTAGTAGGAATGTTTAGTTTCAAAGTTATTTAAATCTATAATCAATCTGATACGAACTACTTTAGCCTATAGTTATGATATGGATAGTGGTTAAGAGATAATATTAGGCATGATTATAATGGAATAAGATGTTACCGATTCTCTTTTATAAGTAAAACTCGATAGGTGACTGCTTGCTATTCTTAGTCATCGAAATTGCTTTAGCCATTGTCTTAATAAGTCAAAGAAGGATTCAAAAATTAAGTCCAATAATTAGACAATATCAAGTAATAGAAAAAATTAGACCGTATAAATTGCGTAATTGTTTAAATGAATGTTTTCATATCACCTTTTCCATTTTAATGCCATTGGATTTATATAATTGAGAAAATGCTTATTTGGGCTAAAAGATTGCTTTTGCGGGAGTACATTGGCTATACCATTGTGCAACTAATACTAAAATAGAAATAATAGTGAAATCAAAACGTTCATAACATAAAGTAAGTCCATCGTTGTAAGGATTATTGTAATATGACGTCTATTCATACACTTAGCTGCCTTGAGCATTTCATTTTTATAGATATTTAAAATAGATATCTTTGTGAGAAAGATTCGGTTAGTAAACTATTCATTCAAGTTTTAAAATAGTGAAAACATAAAGTTGCTCTATTATTCGATACTACATGCAGATACATCTGGCGATAGTAAATATTAGTTAATTGCTTTAGATCTATTCCTAGTAAAATAAGGTACATTCTTACTCTTGTATAACTCTAAAGTACATAGTTTCCTTATATAGCATATAAAATTATATTGGCAGTTTCTATGATTTAAAATTTCGCTTTCGTTGCTCTTCAGGGAAGGTAGGCATCATAAATAAAGCCTTAAAGTGAAAATTGTTAGGGTTAGAAACCTGGAGGTTTATATATAGGTCAATGTTTGTTTAATGCTTTTTGGGGAATGTGATAACTGCCACACATAGTGAGTAATTTATGCATATGGAAACACTACCACACATGTAGTTCCTAGTGCAAGCATTTTCTCTTTTACAGGGAAATAGCAAATCTTCAAACAAGAGTGAATACTACTATTCTGCACTTCCTATTAATTCTTTCGTTTGTATTAGCGTGATGAATTCTTAATTCCTGATTTTATCCAAGTAGAATTGATATCTAGTTGATCTTGCTTGATTACCGGGTAGTAAATGATTTAATAATAAAAACCTGTTAAAAATCATTAAATAATTTAGTAAATTATTAATTGAACAATAGACTAAAAACTAAATTTATTTGTTTTAATGCTGCACGATAGACATAATTCTTTTTATCAACTATCAAATTGCTTACTATTTTAGATTATTTGATTGTATTATGCACCAGTATAGTATTTTTTCCTTTCCATTTTAGAGTTGTTGAAATTTATATTCAATATTTTAAATTATTTCCGTTTCCTGGAATAGCCTACTGCCGAAATTAGTCTTATAAAGATAAGTTCAATTTACTACATTTTTACTAAAAGAAGCTTGGAAAGTTAGGCAGATGTAGTCTGAATATTTCATCATTCGAGTGGATAAGCAGAATAGTACCGATACTGCAATTATTCAAAGCTGTAGAAAATACATACGTTTTTTGTGCCCACAAATTAGCACTATCTATTTTCCTAAATTGAAATCCCTCTACATGTATTTCTTTATCATCGTGTTATCATCTAAATTTTATAATTTGTACAGTACTGACTGCATTTAATGATGATCAGCATCCTAATTTATTTTTTGATACTTTGTAAGTGAGATGTTAGAGTTGTGTAGCTAACCTTTGAAAAATTGATTTACACTAAGTATATTAAAAATAGAATAAAGATAAATAAAATCACAAGCAGTTTAAAAAAATTATATAGTTAAAAGTCTGCGATAGAAAGTCGTAGATGATTTGTTATTTCTTCTTATTTAGTTCTGTTGGAATAAATTTGACAAGCTTAAACCTATAGCGTCTATTGTTTATTTTTTTGGAACAGAATTTAAATTGCGATCATTCAAGTGAAAAAATACATGATAGACATCATTATTGTAAAAGGCTGAATGCTCACTTGAATTTACTTTAGCTCATTAACTGGCTTTACCCTTTATATTTTACCAGAGATTGTAATATAATTCTAAGATATATGATTATTTCCATTATCTTTTATATTCATACATATTATCTACCTGTTAGATTAATAGTTGATTATTCGATTACGCCTAGATAAGATTGTATAGTACAGCGTTTAAATTATCTCATAAAATTTAATTTTATTCATCGATAATTGTATTATTTTAGTTTCTATCTGTGCCTTTTTTATATTACGGAGATATCTTCCATTAACGTCGATAAATGGATCAAGAATAGGCCCTTTATCCAGACTGTTAAAGCAGGTTTATCACCTAAAAAAATGGAAATACTAGGAGTTACTCTCTTTAAAATCACTTATTATACGATGTATCTTCTTTAGCCAGTTGTTTTGTCTACAGAATTACTGTTATAAATAACATTATACAACCTTACTCTTTCACCATTGCAGAGTAAAATATATACCAAGAAAACTTAACAATATTCCTCAATCTTTGCCCTAAAACAAATTTATGCTTTTGTAGAAATAAAAAAGTTATCTTTACTTATTTACTACTTCTTGTATTTAACAAATCTAGAATAGAGTACTGAAGCAATTTCAACATTTAATTAAGTTAAATACGAATATATAGGGTTAAATTGTAGAAAAAGCTGATATCTCTTTCTATACTACTGTACTAGCCAAAGTAAAATATCATATATCAGACCTAAGTACGCTATTAAAACAGTTTCTATGCATAGAAGTAATTAGTAAAGCTGAAGGTGAAATCATAAGAAATGAAGTTAAGTTTACCTAGTCAAATTTTGAGTCTTAAAATAAAATTGGATAAAAATTTAGATTGACAATTATAGCGGTTCTTTCAATATTTTATAGAATTTGCGATTTAAAAAATATCCTAACGATGATCATTACTTTCTTTATCTAAAATAAATTTCAAATCTAAAATAGGAAGTAAAAGTCACATATGCTAATTTTGGCTAAAAGCCTCTTTCGAGTATTGTAATTTTTTCTGTCCCTCAAGTGTTTTAATTTTTTCTTTCCCCCCAAAAAAATCTTTACATAAAATCAATTCCTTAAGGCAAAATAATATTGGAAAAAAGTTGTATCAATATGGAGTAATGATTGAGATTAGTACCGTGATCGAGTATTCACAGAATCAAATCAAAGCAGGTTAATTTCGAATATCTAGAAGTAAATACATTATTTTCTAGCCTACGTAACCTAGAATTCCTATACTCTGTTAGGCTATATTATTGTCTTATACATAATAAAATTGACCGCTACAATTATCCTGATTTATTCCTGTTACTACTTGCATTGGAGTAGATGTATTCTAATTAAATTGAAGCATCAATATTACGTAAAATACGCAAAGTATAGTAAGTAGATAGTTTTTATTAGCATTAGGATACTCCAGACCAACTTCCGCAAAACTCGGATAGTGTGTAAGCCCAATTTCTTAAATCTTGATTTATTTTTAAAGCACTTCTAGTAAAATTTCATAAGAATGAATCAGAGATGTCAATATTTCAATGTTCTTTCTTCGTTGCCTGATTTTTATCGATGAAACAATTAATGAGACTATTTATAGGAAGTAAATAGTTGCTGGGGAAAATATGTATCAAAGTGATTTTTAGGGAAAGAAACAATTTATTTAAGTGCAAATCCAATTTCTGTACTATCTCTATTATTATTAAATACCGCACATTTCGCAATATTTTATTAAAATATATTTCAGCTTGCGTCTTCAAATAACTTCTTGAAAGAGAAATTTCACTTCGAGCTTCATTTTAATTGAAATAGAGTAAAGACGATTAGAACACTAAGCAACCAGTATACGGAACTACAACATAAACCATAGCTGCGACAAGTTCTAATTTACTATGAAATAATTTTTATCCTCAACAATGAGTGTATTCTTTCATTTTGGAGAAAAAAACAATCGATTACTCCTATTTAGTATATTATATTATATTACAATGGAATGATATAGTTTACTCTGAAAGCACTATATAAGGGTATATAATAAGCTGCGAGCATCAAAGATTATCAGATTACCATTAATTGTCGATGTAGATAACGGTAACAATTTATTTGCTAGTTGATTCCAGTCGTTTTGATCATAATTTACTTTCCTGCTCACAGTAGTTTCTTATTCAAAAATTTATCATTGGCTAGTATTTTATATCTGGATTAGGAATAGGATACTATCCAAAAGTAGTGAATATATCAGTATTATTCTGTTCATCGAATTCTTGAACGTGAAATTGGCTGCTAGGACAAGATAGAACCACCTTATATTGGATTCTCACCCATTAATTTATTTCTTAACTATTGTCGTAGTTATATAGAATTATTTCTACATGGTGAGCTACAGCACAATTTCATTCGATTTCAACATGGCCAGCTGGATCGACCATTTCCCCCAACTCTACCATGTGTTATGTAATATAAGGCCCTTTTTCAATCAAATTTTTCAAGATAATGAAATGTTAACCTTGCCTTGTTCAGACCAAATATTAAAGTGGGATAAATCCTTCAGCTACAAGTAAGTAACTCTTAAATTTATCGCCTAATCATTAAAAGATATCGGTATGGACATGTTATAGGCTGCTTAAACCACTAGATCACGATAATATTGCCATTTAGTAGTGCCTGTAGCTGTAATTTTTCATCCGTAAAACCTTACTCTGATTATCCGGAATTAAACTATTTTGGTGATTTTCTTCCGGGCATTACTGTATCTTAGTTTACTTACAGTCTGAAAAATTATCGTTTACTGTAATTTCCAATTTGAGAACAAAAAAGGGGATTCAATTTTTATTTCACTGTTAAAGTACAGTCTAAATAATGCCCGGTTAATCGATTATAGTTTAACAAATAAAGAACTACGAAGTTTAGAATTGTTGTGTCCACGAAAGCATCTTAATTTTTTTCTCCGAAAATTAAACATTCTTGACTGTTATGGCGGGAAGATTGAATATAGAAGTAAAAGAACTGTTACTTATCTCAAATAATACAATTAAAGGATCCATTCTTTCAATTCTATTATGCACGTAAAGTAACCCTTTAGTGTTAGCTATTTCAGGGGTATCAAACGTTAACTTTTAGAGTAATTTTATATTCGTTGAGTTCATTTAATGGAAATATTATTCCTTCAAAATCGACAACATGTATAGGCCATACATTTATCAAAAGCATATTTTATTATAATTTTGCGATGAAAAAGTTTAAAACTTGGGCACGCTTACTTCCGCATCATAGACAGAATTTAAACATCTGTTTCCTCTTAAAAGTTTCCCACATAGATACTGTAATATCTTAATGGACCATGATATGACATCATTGTTGCTCTAATTAAATGATGTTATTAAGTTGGTGAACAATCCTAACATCATTTAGTAAGAGCTATTAAAGGATTACTAAATACTTGGGTTAAGTAATTAGCTGTGTCCGATATCAAACACTAAAAGTCTTTACTTCTATTATTACAGTTTGAATAAGGTAGACAACTATCTTATAATTATAGTCATACCAATGGGAAAAATGATAAAACTAAGAATAGTTACTGTAAGCATTAACTTAATGGCGTTGTTCTGTCTGGCAGAATCGATTTAGCTTTATGATTCATCATTTTCAGTTTAATTGTAAAATCGCATATTATAAAGTAGCAATCAACAGGAACTATATTATGCCTAAAGGACTCGTATGTCTGATTTTTGCTCTTGAATTCGGAATTAACGAATTTGATTAAGCGAGTTTACTGTTGTAGTGCACTACCCCAAGGTTGCAAGTACCTTAGTTTCATCTATCGATACTTCAGCTTCAATTGCTCTATTCAATCGTTTTACAACATTCAAGTTCTACCCATTTAATAGAAAATACAGTAAGATTAGTGTTGATGCCATAATTAGAATATGTCCTATCCACATATTATCTTCCATGGTGCTACTTGTTACACTGGAGTTCTCATAAGTGGCTCGTAGTAATTTTTGAAATAAGCAAATTTAGTTAATACAACGATCATCTTTTATTGTAAAGTACTTATTTAAATAAAGGTTTTCCACGAGAAAGCTTGAATAAGCCTAAAATTGATTTTATAGAATTCTTTTGTTATTTAATAACTATTATTGTTTTGATTACTATTGACATTATTGCTATTAAACGTAATTATATGGATTTAACGTCGGAATAACCCAAAAAAGTAACTTAAATCATTCCTTTGATATCTCTCACTTAGATCAAGTTTGGATATATAAGCTACTATCAGTTCTGTTCGTTCAATTTATAGCTTCAACTTAGTATAATTTTAGGCGTGATACGTTCTATCGGTTCTATCTGTTCAATTTATAGCTTTAACTAAGAGCAATGTAGATGAATGAATGAAAATTTAGCTAAAATTACAATAACGGGAAGCACAACGTAACTTTTGTTAATTCTTCCTGAATTGGCTTCGAGTTAAATTAACCTCGCTTATCCAAATTAATAGAGAATATGGACAAATACGTACTTGTTTGGCTATTCTAATTCATGCATATTTTGCATTCTGTGAATGTCCATGTTAGATAAAGACACCTTAATTATTTTTTGTCTATTTTATCCGTTGTATATTAGATATGAAGATGAATTTTCTGATGCATCCCAAGAAACTAAAATTGGAGATAATAAAGCTTTTTTCTGCGATATAGCATTTCATTTAATCCACAATCAATTTAATCTCGTAAGTTAATTTATGAAATTAACGTTTATTCATTACAGAGACGTGTATGAAACTCGAAAATTCCTTGACATCCAATATTATATTTATCTTTCTACAGATAGTAGTAATTTATCACTTCGAACATAATAGTTTTGTAAACAATCTGTTTGACGTAAATAAATGATTCATAGATACTTTAAAGCAATAATGCTCTGCTTCCCTCCGCTTTATAGTATTTCGTTGATTTTAGTATTATTTTACGAAGATTGGATGCAGATATTATTATTTCTTTATCTTAATACAAAGCACCATTATTTTAAGACTACGAAAACTTAAATCATCTTTGAAATCATAAACAAATACAATGTAATAGCGGGAAAATATAACCATGGCGTCAAGTATTGATTGTGATAATTACGCTTCCCATCCAGTAATTATACATATTACCATAAACAACGTAATCAGTAAAGCATGTGATCGTAATAATGAAAAATCCCTGAAAATCTTCTATTCATTGTTTACGTTCATCGACTGATAGCAGTAAATTGTCACTATAACTCAAAGCTTAGACTATGATAGCTACAGTCATATATATAAAGAAATGATCAATATTTATCGTTATACGTACGTAAAATCCTGAAGAGAATTAAATTAAATATCGAATCAGGAACGTAATTTCTAGCTGAAATTAATTATCATATTGTGATAATAAATCAGTGATTAGATATAGTTCCAGCTTAGCAGTGTGAAATTAAAGTAACTTTTCAATAATACGGTCCTTATTTACCGTTGCCATGCTATCCTATAAATATTATATAAATAATTGAATTGAAAGAAAATCAAGCTTTTCTATTTTCTATAAACAATACTACTGTATGTTATCGTTACTTAAGAAGTGATGCAATATTATTAATGATATTAGTCGAGATGGCAGCTCAAACTGACCGACATTATCAAAATCATTGGATCACTGGCATTTTTATAGGATGATTTAATGACTTAGTTTTAATAAATATGTTTTGAAACTTAACATCAGCAAAAAATTGTTGTAAATTCAATATGAACGCATAATAAGTTGAGTGATGATGATAGCTGATATAAGGTTATCTGATCAACAACTTGAAGTAATAAGATAAGTTTTGCGTCTTAAAGTATAATTGTTCATTGAATTTATTTTATATTAGACTGACTTTCTTGTCCTTTATTTATCTTCATTTAGCTAAAAGAAAAGCAATGTCCTAATGTAATTGTACATAACCAATATATTACTGAAATGATTAACCGCTTCAGGGTAAGGCAGATTTAATTAGCAATTCTAGGCTAGTCTCAGTTATATGGGATATTGATGTACTACTGAATTATAGTTTCAATTAGTCGCAGAAAATATGAATTGAAGTACGCACATTAATCATTTTCCTAGTTAAAGTTTATATTGTAACAAATAGAAACTATTGAGACTTTTAATTCGAGTATTTTAATGCAGTGCATAAATTGATTATAATGTTTCGCTCTTATAATTCCAAAAACATTCAGCACTATTTTCATAACTTCTATCCACGCCATCCATAGTATAGTACTACTAAATGTCGTTATATAACTACTTAGGTACCAGCATAATGTAAAATATATCAAGATTTTGCTTTTAAAAATGGTAAAATAATTCTACATTCGGTAAAAATTTTAATTTATCCCTTCTTTACCCATTGTAAGGTAACATGTTCTGTATGTGCTATTGAATATTTAAAGCCATTAGCAAACTTATTCAGTAATTCCTCGTCGATGGTAAGTCCTAACTCTATGCTTAAGTTAACGTTGAATATCACGGCCACGGTACATAAAGATTGCAATATATCTAAATTTTAAACCCTGTAGTAAACTTGGAATCTACATGTAATAAAACCTTATTTTCATTAAATCACGTGTGCATTTGATTTTAATTTTGTTTACATGTGCATAATTTATATCTGTAAGATTAGTGGTAGAAAATACTACATCCAGCGATAATCTTACTATTATAGAACGAACTACATAAAAATTATAAAACTCCAAACTATGCCATTTTGATAAATCGATCTAAATCTGAGCTTAATCTATTTCAGTTTCCAATAACTGCTTATAAAGACGTAGCAATTCCATCTGAAAATAACTATCAAATTGCCCACGTTCATATTGATGGTTTATGCAGTCATTTTGCTCTATCGATGCTTATTATGTACATACTATCTATGGAATTGCAATGGCGCACACTAAGTGTTTCATTATTAACAGAAGATGATATCGCATCACCAGATGGTAGTGTAATAAATTGTATATATTATAATATGCCTACGCATAGTTATGAATAAATATAGCATACAATATCTATAAGTGAATAGCCTTATTCGTTTCTTATTGCAGACATAGATCCGCCTCCTTACGATGATATTATATACTCTAAATATGGTCAAGAAACAGCCGCAGATTTACAACAGGTTAACATTCATTCCTACATCTAATATTTGTTCTGAGTATTATTGCTAGTAAATTTCTGTATTTCACATTTAAATCTAAAAATTTAGTACAATTAATTCTTGATTATAGGGCAAAAATAAATCGAACAAAGACGAAGTTTCTAAAAGGAAAAGTAAGATTCGAGATATTGAAAAGGTACTGCTTGGATATTTGATAACATAAAAAATCTGTCAAATAACTCGTATAACAAATTGGTTTTGGACTTGAACAATAGATGTCCAAATATAAGTCAATAATGAGTCAATTACGGTAAAAGATTAATTGTCGAAATATATAGTTTATTAGATATTATTTGGATGACGCTTTGAATTATTTGGATAAAGCGCAAAATGTTGTACTAGATATGATAGCGAAATTAAAATATGAGGGACGCGAGAGGAGTTTAAATTCAAATTCAAGTGATGAAGAATTACAAACGAAATTGTACTATATCAGTAATCGGTAAATATTTTTTAATTTAAATGAGTAATAAGCATGTATCTTTCATTTAAAATCTCTCGCTAGATTATATCTTATTACAATATATTGTAAATAATTAAAGTGACACAGCGCAGTATAACATCTAATGCAACAATTTTGATTTATAGGATAGATCAACTGTTTCACTTGCAAGATAAGTTAGGCATTTTTATTCGGGATGTAAGTTGAATTGATATGCATTTACTGCAGATATCACATTTTTCTGTAATTATAGCCACTGCCTGCCCAAATTGGTTGTAAATAGATAAAGTGATCGAATATACTATTTTTATTCAATGATTAGGAAAAACGAAAGCTGTCAGAGAGTTATAAAGATATAAGCGAAGAACCATCTCAATTATTAAATCAGCTTAAAAAATCTGAGGAAACCTTATTTAATCTCCAATTAAGCTTACTTGAGAGGTAATTTTTATACCTGCAGTGCCACAGCTCTCGTTTTTTTATGTTTTTATCGATACTATATTATACGCAAAAGCTTTGTATAAATATTACTTTACCAACTATCCCATAGATCTATTGTTGTTATTAATGTGTCAAAACCATGCATTCAAAAAGGGACACCTTTTAGCTGCAAGCTATGGTAAGAAATAGGTTTTGATTGGTACATAGTGTAATAAGTCAATTTTTAAGGATATGTTCTTCGCAGTATTTTAGGCATTAATAAAATAATATCTCAAGATTTTAAAATCGAAATGAAATTGACTGGGTTAGTAAAAATTAGCCATATTCGCATTTTTCAAAGTTATACTAAACTTATACTAAACTTAACATAATATTCTGTTTTGCAAAATTCGTAAATAGAGGTAAAAGCAAGCTGGAAATCGATGGCCTAGGGGTTTGTAACTGGGATTATTTTTTCAATAGCATCATTTTTGGAGATACTCGGAACAATTTTTTTCGCGTAAATGTTGAGCGAATAACTAATCGGCTAACATAAATTACAGATTATTTCCTCCGAAGAAAGTAGATACCTATCTATAGTTTATAAAGACATCGTAAGTCACAATTGAAGGATGAAAAATTAAGCTAGTGTAGCTGAATAATTACTGCCTAATAGAATTTAAATATCATGTGATATAAGAATTTACTTTCTTTACAGTTAATTCCCGACTTCTCTGATTTTGTTTGCCGAGAAGTAAGTATATCCGTATCATAAATATCGATACTTTATTGGTAATATGCGAAAAGGTATACATCGCACAGTAAGAGTACATAATGTATACAGTACATTTCCTACACGTAAATTATGTATATGCCGATGGTAATAACTTACTTATTATTGTTTCTATCTATTCTGCTTCAGAGCTCAACGGATGATAGATTCTTTTTTAATTGGAAAATGCCTAAAATTGCTGTTGTTATATTGGATAAGAATATCCATACGACGGTAAATATTTCTTCACGAAGTCTAGTTCAAATATGTTAAATTTAAGACTTGACTTATCCTGTTTGATAGCCTACCAATAAGCTATTTCTATACAATTTATTAAGCATACGAGTGTAGATAACTAATCAAAATATATACCGTAATATTTATAATAATTTTAATCACATTTTACGCTAAATTGCGGTCAAAAATAGACTTTTCTGCACTGCAATGTTAACTGGAAAGAGATTTTAGATTTTATTAGTTTAATCCTTATTGCATGATTTCAAAGTATCAGCAATTTTCATAGAGCGATTTTACCTTATTTTAGTTGCAGGTAACTTCTCCTTCGATTCGCGTAATAAATCGAAAGAAAGACACAATTGCCGCAGAATGCTCACTTGTATGGGATTACTACATCAGCCCATGGGTAAATATTTCATTTGATATTAGAAGAAACCTAATAACGAAATTTAATGTCATGAAAAACTTGACGACAATACAAGGCCGGAATAAATAACTGTTTTTGCACCTGTTATGCAATAATAAGTCAATATAACGAACAAATTTAATATAAAATCTGCAAGTAGATGGTATTTCTGACGACGAACCATCAAATTTCAATGATTCATTTGTAGGATAAGGAAATGCACCAGGTTGATTTTCCGCAACGTGCAAAATGGTGTCAAATTAAAAACATGTTAAATAGATTTTGTTTCTGCAGACTAAAACAAAATTTGACTGATCAGAATTTGCGGTATATCTACAAAAGAATGACAGGTTAATTATACTATATTTGTTTAACTAGCTATAAAAGCTGTTGGCAAATTTTCTCAATATTATTTGATAAATGAACATAAGACATATTATGGTTTATCAAAGTGTTGGATGGAGCGTAGACTAAATATTTCGTTTCAAAATAATGGATACTGACATTGCATTCTGAATTTCTAATGTGTGCCTTATAAAGGTGCAGACATAGAAAATCCCGCTCATCCTATTTCTTGGAATCAATACTACAAGGTTAGTGATGAATGAGATAAAATAGGTTGTGCGAGTAGAAGTGCATATCATATGTACTATAATTACAAAGATATAAATTAAGATCATTTATTTATATTCATGAAACTGCAAGAAATAAACCTTTTTTTTATAAATTAGGAAAAATTACGTGATATACAACAAAGCATTACCTTCGGAGGATGGTTTTTTACCTGTATTGAACTTTTAAACGAGCCAAAGCATAATTTATTAAAGTGGTGGAAAAATGGGTAAGAGTTAATATTTAATCAAGATTTAATATTGAACATCATAAAGGCGCGTATCTATTATTTAAATGTCACGTATTGGAGTAACCCATATAGTTAATGTTACCTTAATTTTAAAGTTTAATGATAGGATTCATATCTAAGATCGCTGCTGATGAATTACTTCAATACTATCCGCCTGGGACATTTATTATTCGATTTAGTGAACAAAAACTCGGCCGAATATCTATTAGCTATGTAAATGGTATGAATTATATATCGGCTTTTATACATATACTAAAACATTAAAGATAAATTATTACGTCGATTTTATAACTTAATTCATATTACTCATCTAGAAAATAGAAAAGTGTGTCGAATTTACCCTATGAAATGTCATATAGAAGTCGAATTAAAACATAGCCTTACCGATACTGACATTCATGGAATAGTTCAAAAAGAAAGAAGAATCATTACTTGGATTGATTGGTTAGAAAATTGTACCTTAATGGATTCCATTTTCCGATATCACTGTTTATATACACGTAGTATGAAAGCATGCCCGTAAAATTTAGAGTAAATAATAGAACTATTAACATAAGAATTACAATTCCTGCTAATAAATAATTTTTTTTAATTTTGGTTTCGCATAAAGGATTTTAAAGAGTGGTAAAAGTAAGTTAAAGTATTTTTATCCGGTTCTGCAAACAATTGATATTCTAAAGGATACCTTGAATCCAGGTATGATACTCCTCTCATCGTTATATTTGACATTATTATATATTATATTCGTTTACACCTTTTTCTTATATACCGTACCCGTATGTGTCGCGATTGTAAAATAGAAAATATATTTCTTCATTTATTGTTATTGCTTTTAAATTTTAAAATTAAAAATGAAGGCATAGATAGTATTTTAAATCGGAATAGTAGATAGTTAAGACAATACCAGTACGTTCTTGAATTTTTTTTGCGGTGTAGAGTTTTATTAACCTTAACCAAGTAAGATGGCAATATAATAATGAACTATTTTTATTCAAGTAGAAGAATCAAATGCCGATGTTCCAGTAGAGGGATATACCTCATTCTTCGAATAAAGCTTACATTATGAGAGCAGAGCTTGTAGGTAAACAGGGATTTTACAAGACTGTACCGCGTCAAAGCGCCCATACTTGTCATAAAGATCAAGAAATGTAAATAGTCCTTGTTCTTGCTAGCTACGTAGTCGTCGGCATCTCGGTGATCCAAATGACTGAAATCAACATTATAACAACCAATTCGTAGCAAGTGTTACTGCACTGCACCAATGGTCCGCTTAACAAGTATTTTTGAGTTAATTCCTTGGCATTATTGGCTAAACGATTCATAATTGTTAAAGAAATCATGCCATCGATGTATTACATGAATTAAATGTGGAGAATACCTATTTAAACATTTCATAGGAAAAACATCCCATGAAGTTGAAATTCGTTATATAAATTATGGTATTTACACTATTTCCGATTCTAATGCTGTAGCAACGCGTAAAAATGATCGCAAATGCCCCAGAAATGCTATTTTATGGAAAAAGTACGAACTTTAATATCGTTTATGTAAGCCTCTCTCATATCTGATTCGTCAACTTAGTTACTGGATATCATTCCCGACGGCTGTGCACTATATCACTAAATTAACGCAACATAATTTGCAAGTATTAGACATCGACTCATCTTAACCATTACGGTGCAAGAAAATTAAAAATATCTTTTTCGCAAGTAATTAATTAATATTCAGCGTTGAAAACAACCTAATGAAGAAGAAATTAAATAAATGAAATTTAACATGGCTATAAGAGCTTAATGGGTCATTTGATCATACTTATTATCCTTTTGTTTAGTTTCGAAATATGTCAGTAAGTTATAATTTAGAAAGTTATAATAAAGAAGATAAAATATTGCCTGCTATAAAGTTATAAAATATCAAAAGCAGCTAAAAATCCAAAATTAAAACAATCTAGATGACTCGTTTAATTAACTCCAGGATCCAAGTTCTACTGTGTGCTGGAATTTAAGCAATATAACAGGATTTAGTTATATTAAGAAAATATACAATTTATAGACAAATGTGATCATTAAAGTAGGATAAATTTGACATAAATTCAGTTTTAATTTTTTAACTGTGCCTTAAAATTACTGCGATGAATCATAATATACAATTTGAAGCTACATGATAGTTACTTCCTGGGCACTGAAATAATTAAGGATAAGAGTTGATCAGAAAAGTAAAATAACATATCTTTATTTGTGATCACGTCATAAATCAAAGACGGGAACAGCAAATTTATCAAATTCTGCTCATTTAAATGCAATAATTAAAACATTAAGTAGTGAAGTTTTTATTTTTAATAAATGATGTGATTTACGAGTAAAATATTGATGATTTTTATATTACCGAATTAGAAGTAGATCAAATAGTCAATTTAAACTAGAATTCTGATTCTGATAACATATAGTAAGTGTAAGGATGAAGGTATCATGATCCAAACTAAATAATTTAAGCTATTTATTACTGCTATTCGCTGCTAAAATAAGAGGAATTAATTTTACATTTTCCTTTTTTCACGTGCAAAAACTATAAATAATTTTATGTAGGTAAATCTTAGCGAAAAATGTTAAATGCTCTATTTATTCGATTATTAAAAGGCTTTATTAAGATTTTCTTTTCTAAGTTTACTGATTTACTTCCCACTCCTTTCCAAAGAAATTTCATTACTCTGTCCATTCTGCGTTGCTTTGATAATAATCTTTTAAAGTTTTTTCAATGTAGCTATGTCATAAAACGGCATTAAAACAAGATAACGTAATGTACGATCAATAAGTCAATTCCTTAAACCACGTATCAAGGAACGATATCTGCACTATAAAAAACATTTTATCTCTACTAGCAGACTACACAAAGACTTAGATGCCTTGTATTTTACGTTAAACACTAAGTTTAAGAATCCACTTTATTACATGATATACTGCATTTATATACTCTTCCTCAATAGTTCATGAGTCATAGTTAGTACGATTAACTAAGGAATCATTTACTGAATTAGATATTAATTTTAGCTACTGCTCCCTTAATGCAGACAACAGTATTTACGAACGTAGACACCTGATGACTAATGCAGAATAGTCAGATTACGATATGTCCTATCACGGAACATTTCCATGATAATTTGCAATCTGCCATAAGAAAGTTACAATAACAATGATTCGAACTGTAAGTAGATGATTTGCATACCCTATTATAACTATTAATTTCAGTATGTGTATATGTGTCACTGTCATAAAAAGTCAGTGCTATATATAATAAAACACAGTATATCCAAATTAGAAGTTAACTAAATAAGGATAGGGTAACAGAATTATCCTAACATAGATATTTCTACTCTAATACAGTACATAACACTGTCACAAGCTAAGATATGTATATACAGAGTTATTTTCTGATGAGCTCAAACTTATGAAGTAGTAACGACAAATTTAGATTTGAATGTGAATCGAGGAAAACTACAAAAAGGAATCATGTTCTGCATTTATATCAGAGCTGTCACTTTTATGAAATGTGCTATTTTTCAAGTATTAATGTATCGCATTCAATCCTTCAGGAAATAATCATGCTGGAATCAGAGCTGGCTAATACTTTGCACGTACAAACTAGCATAATTTTTCAACTCTTTTCATGCTCTTCTGCTCTTCTCAAAAATAAAGTTTTCGTTTTCTTATTGTATTTAACTGTCCGTGCAAACTGTTCAAATTTAAATATTGGAACTGAATTTTAAAGATAAATTCCATTTCCAACGTATCAATAATCACTAGCTAGCTACCCACATTTCCAAATAACACGTTTGCATTTTTTATGACCAATGCTACAGTATCTCATACTCATATCCCTTTTTAACTATCTATTACGAGTAGCTATACAATCCAGCTGATCATTAGCTACTTAAAAACGTAAATGCAAACCATAAGGTTCACTATAGCATAGGCAATTGCATATTTTGTCTTTCGATTGTGGAATACGGTAATTGTTTTCTTTATAAGACTTAATTCCATAGCCTTTGGCTCAGATTTTTTCTTATTTCTGAAGGTAAATAGCCTTTTCCGATGTTTTCCGTTAAAGAAATCTAAAGCTAAGGAATCATTGCTTGTAGACTCAATCCGATGAATTACTATTTCTTAGAAATATGTAATCGAACGGAAATAATCCTTCAGACTCATTCATAATCTTGTATTGTGCAATGATACAATTGCAAGCTTTCGTTGGTTTTTCAGCTTTATTTGGAATTGATTTGTGTTATTCAGTCTTTAATGGCCTAGGAACAATATTAAAATCTTGCCAACCCGCAGGTAATACAAGCACATGATACCTTTTTCTATGACAAAGCCAATCATTTTTGCTCGTATTCTTTTTTCTTAACTATTCAATAATTGGACTTTAATAATCGTAAAGCTGGTCCTAATTGCTTTAGACACTGACGATCATTACCTTATCGACTAATTTGAGAAGCACTTCCGCGAACATATTATGGAAACAATAGTTGTCTTGATTGCAAAAATGATATTGATAATAGGCACGGCGCCTTCTTGTAGGCTAGTCGTCAGCTGTTTCAATAGCTAACAAAGCATTATTTATTGTACAACTATTAAAGCATTGGAGAGCAATATTAGTAAAAAGCCATTACATATAACTTTACGTGACGCTAAATCTTTCTATTTAAATAGAGAATATGATAATTTATTGTGGAAATGAAGTCGTACCGACGCTAATGGATTCATTAGATGAAAAGATCACTTCCTTTCAGATTCTTCTTTGCTAGTAAGTCTGTGATCGGATGACAAATTCATAGCTAGAATGTAACTCTGTACAACATAACAAAGCATAGTATAATAACTTCAGGTCTATATGAATAATAAGCCATCAATAAATGGTTGTTACGGATGATCCATAAATTTTTTCTGCATGGATTCAATTTTCTTTAAGAATTAATAACTAAGGACGCTATTTCTAAAGAAGAGTTTGAGAAAAACGTTAAATTGGAATATGTTCAATGGCATAGAATAACTGTTGATTCGCTGAAATATTGTAGAACAACAACATAAAACCATTTACGATGGCTTTGAAATAAGTTCTTATAGATTAATTGATATGGAAGGTTACGTAGAAGAAGATTACTATAGCTATCACTAAATATAATACTATGTGAGAGATTTTCGTCTACTATCAATCTACGGGCTGATAGTAAATTTAAATTGTATATTTTTAACTGCTTCGTATTTAGTTTAGTGATAAAACATAATCATCAACTGTTCTAAAATAGACTAATAGCAATGGATGGCTTTCAATTTATGCACACAATCAATAAAATTGATAAAATTTTAATATTTGATTAGAACTAAAAGTGTTACTCTAGGCGATATGCATTATGCCTGTAAAAAGCTATGAAGATCTTTCACTTCTATACGTATATTTCTGCTTGTTGATGGCTAATTTTTAGGAATGACCATAATAATTCGATTGTGATATGGCATGACAACAACTTGTTACCTAGTCGAAAATAAATGGTCTATTCTTACTGAAGCTTCGTTAGCATCATAATATGAATCAATTAATAATGCAATTACTAATTGTCGTATTCTCCTGTTTATATTTATCTTAAATCGTTGTAAAACAAAGTGGGTTATTGTCTATTCGTTCAAATCAAGGTAAAGTATATAAATAAATCCGGAAGTCAATTCAGTTATCATTACAAAACATTCATTATCATATATTGATCTAGATGTTTGCTAGAAGTTGTCTTAAACAGCAAAACTACAGATTGGGTTAAAAGCGTGGATACTGCCTACGGTTGATGCGCTTAATTGTTTGAGAAAGTAATCAGAACTTGATCGTCATAAGTCATTTTAGTAATGATACGTATAGAAGAGTAAGATACCAATAATAGCCTGCCGTGATAGTTCAGTCAGATTAGACTACGATAGATTTCATATACGTTAGGGCAGTAATTTAAGCTAGCGCTAATGTATTTTTGACTCTAAAATGAGAACAGCATAATTACGAGATTAAAGTGTCTATGGCAAATTCAGTATAATTATCAAGTACTGTACTTAACAATTATGCGGAATGAGCCATTGTAGAAGACGTTATCATCGACGCAATATTAATTAGTGTATCACGTAAGAGATAAATTAAATATGGAATATTCCAGTAACACATGTGTTGTTTCATTTCTAATTTTTATATTGACTTCTTCAGAAAATAAAATCGTATAATTCTTTATTCTTATGTTCTAACTTGTGAATTTTACCTCGATATCGCTATTTTATTTATAATCATAAAAATCTTTGAAAGTTACTGTGATGGTCTTTAGCGAACTACTTTATTTTGATCAACTACCAATTGGCTTATTCAATAACCCAAGCGGTTAAGTATTTCATGGATGATTGAACAATATCAATTATTTATTTCAGTATAAACTGCTACAGGTGATAGATCCCTCCATCGATCTGTTATAGTATTTATACGAAATCGGTGACTTTGCATATTCTCGTCAATCCAGGAGTAGTATATTTACAGTAAAATCTAACATTAGAGGCTGTGCACTCAATAACCAGCTGTATTTACTCAACAACTTTCCAATAGCAACCAAGTATCCAATTTCTTCTACTATGTTATTCCCACGCTACTGTTAATTTCTCTATGAAATGATTTTACTCCACCCATCAGTCATAACATCCAACTCTATAGCTCTAACTGTACTTGTACAAAATTTCCTGCAATTCTAGAATGGTACGGTGAAGGTTATTATCTGGAGGTTTTACTTCTTTTAACGAATCATAGTCAAAAAATGTGTTATAGAGGGTAGAGTATTTCTTATTTTTAAGTCTACAATACATTTAACGCTCGGTAGAAGATAGGCTAGAAATTGAATTAATCTTAACTATTTCACTGTTACCAAAAAAAAAATGATAAGTCATTTCCAGTAGAGTCAATTAAATTAGTTATGAAGTTATTGTTACAAGTCACATTGAATCACCATAATATCTATTTTTCTTCTCGAAATAAATTTAAAAGGTTTCACTTGCTATTCATCGGGATATTATCGCATGACTACAATGGATTGCTTTAGTTCACAGCAACACTATATTGATTTTATTGGTCAGTTCTATCATTATTTTGTAATATATAAATGCTTTGACCATCGTAAGTAGTGTTTTGGTCAGGCTGATTTTCGATTTATCTAGTTAACGGGTTAAATCATCTTAAAATTGTAGTCGTTACGGTGGAAAACGGACAACCGTACCACAAAATTAATAGAACATAATCAAATAGTCTAATACCGCAATGTATCAGTATTTCAGAGATTAATGGTCCCACGCAAAGCTGCATGACCAACGATATGATCATCTATGTTGATTAGGTGAAGGTTAAATCAGCTTCAGTTAATGAGATGATGGAGGATGAAAAATAAGATTTTACTTCCCGTATCATTCATCATCAATTGTTGGCTTAATTTAATAGAGATTGAATTGAAAGAAAATAATATTAGCTAAAGATAATATAATTCGAGGCACGGTTACGATATTACTGTTTAAGTTTTCTACCATTCCGTATCCCAGTTTTTAGGTCTAACATGAAGTATTTTGATACCAAAAGGTACGGTGGGGGCACATCGTTAATTAAAATCAAGTATTAAACGCGTGCAGCAATAAGACTGATTTTATTTTTGTTATCGGAAGGGTACAGACTCAATTATTTCGTAGTTTTTAAACCAAATATCAAGCTTTATAAATATCAATAGGTAGGGCATGTCGATAACAACAATCAAGTCTTAATTGCTAGCAGTAATAAAACTGGTTTTGTTTTGTTGTCGGCAATCCATTTCTATATTATTGAATTTGTTACAATTAGTACTGATATCTAAACTAATGGAACCGCCAGTTAGTCTGCAGGCAAGTTATGGATAGCTTATTTTATTTCATTAGGATGAGATAACAACAGGAAATTACCTACGAATACGGAGCTGCGAGGAAGACATATTCGTTACCTTCGTTTTCGGCATGTTAATGTCTAGTTTCAGGACTGTAGTTTAGGATAAGTAACATGCCATCTTGGCTGTTGATGATATTGTAATAACAATTGCCATGCCTTCAATTGTTTGATTTAAAAGACTTACATTTTTCTATTTTCTTTCTTGTATTGTATCATAAAGATAAAAGATTATTATGAACAATAATTCATATAATTCACGGAGAAATGACCCGATAATCAAGTGGTTAATTGGACAAGTTATTTATCAATCAGTGGGAGATCGCACATCTACGTCATTATAAAACTCTACTCAGCAGTTCCACCTGTGGCTATAATATTGAGAGTCAATCAAGAAAACGAATCATTTCTACTAATTGTTGACTGGTGATAGATTGATCAGAAATTAATCATGTCCTCAACTATCGAAGCTAGCTTTTATCTGAAAAACATAGAAAATATGTTTCATGGAATCATCAATTATTCTGGTTTACAAAACACGTGCATCCATGAGAATCTTGCATTTCTTAACTGGCTACAACAACAAGACTTTCATTCCTCTTTGTAAGTCATCAATGTTGCATAACTAGCCAGACAGTTAAAGTTTCACTTTTTGCCTATAAATTCTCTTCTATATAGTTTACGTACTTAATTTTTCTTCCATAACAGCTACGCACCGATTCTTTAGCTTGAGATGATAACAATCCAATCTTGTTCATTGATAATTTCTTCAACACTTTGTGAGAAGTGAATTTATACTTTATTTATTTGCTTTTCTTATAAACTTCGGCATTCATCTCATACTCTTATCATATCATACCAGAGGGTGTCAATTCTTCGATTGTGATATTAGACTAGATGGTAGTTTGAATTGCGGAGGTATCAAATTTTTTAGGTAAACAAAGTTGACCTTACTAGTGTTAGTCGCTACCATTTATCCACACTTCATGGTATACGCGTAAATAGATTGAGCTATTTATTAAATGTGTACCCGTAAACATAATTTTGAGTTTACCCTTAGTGGCTAAAATACTATTTTTTTGGTCTTTGTTATACATGAATCATATGACAGCAATCTCATCTATGTGGCATCAAGAGTTTGTTCTACTTTCTAATTAGAATTCAATGGCTAGAAAGTGTATGATAGAACATAAAAATATGCGCCACTTATGATAACTGTCACGCTATACACGGAACGAAGAAACAAGTTTAAATAGATGCACACAAAAGATAATATAGCGTGTAAAATGTAGTTCAGCATCCATTTTCGACTCTCGTTATAGCTATATGTAAGGATAGAAAGTACATGCTGTTTGAGATCAAACTTTAGCATAAATATTATAATTAATCAAGGTGGCTGTAGTGTACAGCTTATTAGCCCTAGGTTAGTAATCCGTCAACTCAAAATTCTGAGTTGTTAAAATCGAGCAAATCCCTAACGTGACACTAAATAGTCAACACCGTATAATTGATTTATAACAGTCCAGTTTATTAACGTACGTGTGTCGTCAGTCAGAGAAGAATTCCAATTTCTTCCCCTCATAATAATAGTCGAAAGTGGCTAAGATAAATCGGATAATCGACTTAGCCTCCACGGTAACAATTCTATACAACTTATACAAATTATCATCAATTGCTCCTCTACATAGGAGTCATCGATCACATTAGTACATTGCTTAATAACATTACTTAATATGGCTATCAGCTACGGCCTTATATAGCATATACTTTATTAAGACATACAGTTCTATACTACATGCTATCACTATATTGCATACGCAAAACTGCTGTAATTAGCTGAAATCACTACAGCGGCCCAGTAACCCGTAGAATTATTACGACAATAAAAAATTGATTACTAAGAATTTTGATCAGTTTTATTCCCCTTAAAGATTGTCATCAGCTATTTTTAAGTACTCCATTTATTCTTATACTGTTATTGATATACAGAAGTACGTTAAATATATAAATTGAAGTCTGACCTATAATTATCGCTTAGCATTATAAAATTTATCTTATATATTCTTTACTTCAGAAGAATCAGCATACAGAAGATCATTATAGCAACACTTATACTCAGATATATAACATCTTTAGAATTACTCCTTACAGTTTGTCTAGATATATCATCTATTTGATCATTAAGAAGTCTGATCAATTTAATTCTCAAAAGAGATTGCCATCAGCTATTTTTAAATACTCTCTCTATTCATAATTATATTATTATTGATACATAGAAATACGTTGAATATATAAATTGGAGTCTTACTTGTGATCATTGCTTAACATTACAATATTTTATTTATTTCTTACTTCAGAAAGATCACTATAGATCATTTTAGTAAAACTATATGCTATGCTACAGTAATATAACATCTTTGGAATTCTTGTAATAAGTCGTTTAAATAGATCGTCTATGCTTGATTATCGATTAAATACTTTAACGATATTTAATATCCTAACCATCAGTATGTATCATTATAGCAGCATTTCATGCTACAGTAATATAATATCGTTACAATCGCTTCTAAAATGTCATTGAGACATCACTTTTTCGCTAGTTATTGTCTAAACACTAAAAGCTTAATAACCTTTGAAATTTTCATTAATATTTATAAGTATAAAGATGCTACCATCCTCATACACATGATATATCCTACTCTTAGCAGAAGTGATTTTAAACAGCATCTGATTACTATTATAGGAGTTAGATAATATTGAAGAGCCAGCCTAATAGTCTATATTCTTGCTTTTAATGTAGTAATGAAGGAATAACAGTGAATAATACTTGCAGTCTGGCTATAATCAAGTACTGGTTAACTGTTGTCGTCGTACAAGAAATTGATTCGATGAAAAACACTATCGATCAGGTTTAGTGCTTTATTTATATTCCCTCTATAGGGATTAACGAAATATGAATTATGAATTCAATTTACGAAATTATCCAATTTCAAATATAACTATGAGATATAATATACTGTCAAATTTTTATTTAATTCATTGCTTAAGTATCATCCACTGCTTAAAATTTATTTAAGTTAATCATTTCGTAAAGTGAGTCGTGACAAGATCCTATGCATTAACTTAGCTATCATTAATAAATGTCTATTTTGCTTTTTAACAGAAATTTGAATATTTAACCAATGATAAATTAACTTCGTCACTTATGAGCTTGTGGGTGAGTCGTTATCATATAATTTGCGAAAAGAGTAGTATGATGTTTTGAATTTGTAAAATTTTTAATTTGTTAATAACTTATTTGGCATGAAACAATGTTTTTAATCAAGAAGTTTGTTCAGATCTGCTATTATACAGTACATGCTCTTAATTCATGATATCATAGTAGAAATTCTAGGAATAAACGATTTCGTTATTTTTATAGTAAATGTACAGTAGAGCCAGTACATGATAAAATTTCCAGTTGCTAAATTATGTTGTTTCTCAGTAAATGATCAAATCATGTAAATATCTTATTACTCTACTGCTACTGATTACAATTATCTATGGCATCACTGTAAGTTTTTAAATTACGTTTCTTGTTAGCACAAACTCAGAGGCTGCGGAGTTAGTATCGAGGCATTTCAAGGATACGATGATGGTAGCATCCGGGTAGGATAAGTTATTAGTTCGTAATGTGCATTTTGTGCTAATCTTCTTTACCTACGTTAGTTTGTAGATTTCGTTAGAAGCTAAATCTCCTAATGTCAAGCTCTAATCCTATCTACTAATGCCTATCTTCGAAATTATCTTTAATCATGAATCAATTACAGAATGCCTGTCGTACGAAAGCATTTGATAGCTACAGCAAGGCCCAACATTTCAAGTTGTGTATGGACATTAGATTAAGTTGGGGTGTTTTTTTCCTACTGCAAGCACTATCTTCGAATATATGTTGCAAATTAGAAAGCTTTAGAAATAGCTTAGATATCGATTACCCACCCATGAAAGAAATTTTGCGGGATTGTTGGGTAATTCTTATAATATTGCTATTCTGGTATTCCTGTAAAAGCATGAATTTTTTCATTCAAATTTTAGCGGGATGGAAATGGCAATCACGTTTTTACTCTGAAGAATCACAATTTCCGAGTGAATTTAAAGAAAATTTGAGAGACATTCACGCTGGGTAAGTCATTACTTAACAAATGATTACAGTCAGAATTTAAAGTAATTAAAATGTGAATAAAAAATATCTTCTATCCATGTAGCCTGCATATTCTCATGGATTGTTTAGCGTAACATTATTTCACATTCTTGCTTTCTTGAGATTTCATGATATAAGATGTGAATAGAATGCACTGGCAGACGATATAATCTTAATGCAGTCATAGTAGCACGCAGACATTACCTTAAAATCTCAGCTTGTTACCAATATCGAAAAATAAGTTTATAGATTCTAATCTAAAAATGCTGTAGTCGTATCTACCGTATATATTCATAGTGTATTTAATAGTAAATGCATTGACATACGTAATAAATCTATAAAAATTTTTAGAATTAAAAACATACTGGAAGTCCACCGAATATTTTTAAGCGTGAATCAAGAGGTTAGTATAAGTTTTTGTATTGCCACCAGTTGCACAAAGAAGTAAAAAAGATTATAGAATTGATGGCATTTAAGTAATATACTCCTAGCGATAATAGATATTTCGAGATAAACGTTGCCGATATTACAGGTCATGAATTTACTATCACAACTGAACAATAAAGATGTGTTGGAAGAACTCGACATTTGTCATCGAAACTTGCAATATATTACTTCTCTACATGACCAACTAATTATGAGGTAATTATGAATCTTATAGCAATTAATTCACTGGAGCTTCTGATAATTAAATATAACCCATATAACAATACTAAGACAAGTAGACTATCTTATGTATATTGATCAACTTGTTATATCTATCGGATTATTTCCATTTCAATTTCTATTCTAACTGGACTCCAAAAGATCGTTCTTCGTCATGATTCACTGCTCATCAGCTAGCAAATTTGAGAATTTTATCAAATGTACCACAGTGTATGTTTTCTATTAGATATAAATTTATTCGATATGGGATAAATTATTTCATGAAAACTTAAATTTTTACTAGCGCCTTAATCCCAAAAACATGATTTTCTATGATTTAATCTGTAGATTTTTGGCTAATGAAAAATGTTCTATCATACAGCCGATAAAGACGACATATGATGGGTAAATGTTTTTTAAGGATAGCGACAAAGTTACTCCTATAAAATTATCATTACCATTATCATAATTATCATCTCACTCATTTATGCTAAAAATAAAATATTTTTGTAATTTTATCCAAATCAGCGCTAATAAATATTGATGCAGTTAAAGTATAGTTAAGTTCGTACATTCAAAATGATTAAAGTTTCATTGCTAAGTTTGAAGGGCAACGTATATTAGCTGTACTTTTACAATGATAGGAAATTATCAATATTTTTGAATTTTCTAATAGAAATCACGTAGGAATAGCTTTTCAGGAAGTAGATCCTTTTTCCTGGCATATTTGTTAATTATGATATAGTAAATGAGGATTAGAGTTGTGATTTATTGATGCTTATCTTTAGTTTTGATTTTTCTTAGATTCGAGACGAGAAATCACGAAAAAACTTTTTCGGCTATTGTAAGATTTTTATGTTAAAAGAAATTTGATTTAGTTAGCAACATCACTTTTAACAATTTTTTCAACGACAATATAAGCAGAAAATCTGCAAATTGTAATTATTAACTGAAGAGAATCAGTCTATATATTATGCCAATATGAGTAATGTATGATAGAAATATATTGGAATAGAGTAATATCAAATATAATCTAAATGTTGAAAGTTGAGCAACTAGATTCAATTCAAACTCGTAATTTTGAAAATACTAGGAAATGACATTGGAACAATTGGGTGATAGACAGTATTGTATAGGCAAATTTAAAGAACGCTTTACGAGTGGAAAACGAGATAAGAATGCTGAGGAGCTGGTAAATCCTTAATTCATCTAACTGCTAGTTATCACTGATCTAATTTTGGTCATTAAATTCTGACTAACAATCTGCAATTTCCGGAAGCCTTACGTGACGGATTATCGATGCCAGCTGATCTTTAGCTGTAACGTTCAGACTTGTCTTGGAACAACTTTAGCGGTAATATTTTCCGTGATATTATTAATTTCATGTATAAGATAGTTCTAAAATAATATAGCAATTTTTAGATATCTTATAAATAAAATTGATCAAATGATACGTAAATTTACAACCCTCTTTATTGTATAACCATAACTTCGATTTTAGCCGTAAATCAGTCAAATGGAGGGCTTTGTGAAGAAATGATTCTATTAATAATTTCCTATAAAATCCTTGATATCTAGTAATATTTGATCCTAAGCTGCAAATTTGCAAACCAGAGTAATATAATTAAGATTTAAATCGATCTTACTCAATAACATTCGAATTTATTTTAGCACAGGATGACTTATTCTAATAATATAATTATACGCTATCTACCTTAATTTTATATCTGTTGTAAATTTTGTAAAATTAAAATCTTTTTGTTTCTTAGATGGAGTGTAAGAGCAAGCCTTTCGCGCTCTTAACTGGTGGTAATCAGTTGGCTAGAGCTGATACCGGCGTAGCTTGGGATATTCATCTAATTCCAGATACAGATGTGCGTTAATTTAAGCTTACGTAAATTGAAATAGTTAAAAGGAACGTATACGTATTAATTTTGTATTACTTTCCGTTTAAATTGGCTTGAAATAGCTACAGTTTAATTTGTAGGAAAAATTTAGAGAGTTACCAGTATTAAATTACTTTTCTTTGACATCGTAAATGCTATCGATTGGAATTAATTCAGATTTAGAGAGTAGACGTTACATAGCTTGATGATCGAAGATGTTGTTGTTACAAACTAACTTTGTGATAAAATTTACGTACAAAAATCCCGAAATTTCTGGAGTCTTCCGGATTTAGTATCCCTTATCTACTTGCAAAAACTTAAACGCCACTGTTATTATGTTACACAACTAGAGAACTGATTTTATCTAACTATCTGCTGAATTTATATACCCCTCAGCAATAACTAACATTGATGGATTATCTAAAGATTCTAACACCTGAGTTTAACTTAATAACCAAATTAATACAGAAATACAGAATTTATAGCTATGGACTTCTATTAATTAATTCTAGATAACCGAACTACAGTTTGAGCGTTTATAGTATCAATTTAGTGCACCTACGATCTACTATTAGACGGAAATAGCCCTACAATCCGTCGCGTTACTAATGGACTATGATTCATAACGTTATTTATATTTATTATAGAATACACTCTTGACAAAGTGTAAGTAAACTATTTCGCTCTTCTAAGTTGCTATTTTCAGTGATTATCCTAGTATCAACTTAGAACTACCCTTTTAGACCATATTCCCCCGATAAACTGTACAACATCGAGTTACTTTACTTTATTCTAACTAGTAGGATCAAGGCTGGTTTGCTTATGAAACTACAAAACCGGTTACGAGCGGCTAATAGTCGCAATTACAAGACAATTACAATAGTTTTAGTCAATCTAATCTATATAAGCAAAAGCATAGAGAAAAACATAATTCTTTTGCTTAACATTAGATAAGATGCAGATAGGAATAAGATAAGAAGTCCCTAATTTCGTCAATAGACTCCTTGAACAGTTCTTTAAGGAAAACTTGTTACTATTAGGTGTACTGGACATGAGAATTATGTAAATGGCTCAAAGGTTACCATAAGAAGAATGTCTACTATTCGGCTAACATTACAGCCTTAACCTAGTAGCATAAGGAACAACATAACACTGTACTACTATAGAACGCAGCTAATTAATACAGAAAGAATAGAACATATAAAATCAACAGCTAATATGGAAATCTGCTACGGTAAAAATACTTAAAATCTCTACTGCTGTTCATGATGTACTTGCACCGTGACGATATTGTTATGTATTTAGGTTTTATGATTTCATACAATAGATACTTCGAGTGTAGCCGGTAAAAACTATTCCATTTATTCATCAATTTGTGCTTGTATGCTTTCACTAATAACACAACATGCCATCATGATGCACAAATTTCCATTAGCTATATTTAAAGCTATGATGCAGGCTACACTATTTCACGTAGTTAATCTTACACATTCGTATTTATTGTTATACACGATAATATATCAATATTAAAAAATATTATATTCTCATCTAATTTACCCTATACGAGTACTTATGATTGCTTCTTTATACAATACTGTAAATATCAAATATTACTTACTATTAGTCGTAATTACAGTACAAAAACTTACACAGTTATCAATAACTTTATAACAATTATTATTATGGTACCACATATATTTTACTCTGACATACTATAACTACGGTGATTCCCATCGTAAGTAATTAGTTGGAATCACCATGGAATCACAATAGATAGATAAAAATTTAATTCGCTAAATTTAGGCGTTTAATTTTTCATTATAGCTCGTATTGTGATACTCATAACTTATTGCTTATTGAATTTCCGTAAACGACTCATTGCCATTAGTTGATCTCAGCCGGAAGTTGCTTTCCATATGAACCTAATATGCCTTGGTATGAAGTTGAAAAAATGCTGGTATTTCAATTCCAGTACCGCGTTAAAAAATCATTATCAGCAATAAATCTGCAATATATTAAATTTATGATTTTCGGAAAAGGTAACAAAAATGTACTTTATAATGGCGATTATTTTTTAAAATAGAACAGGCTGTTTATAGTGCAAGATTAAGTTAACTAACCAGTACTAGTATTGCACGAGGCTAAATCTTTCCAATTTCATCTAAATCGAGAGTTCGTCATTAAAATATTTGTAAAAAATGGTACATAATAAATAGTGAGCAAAAATAGAAAAGATTGATAAGTTAAAATAAATTAAACTTATTTGGGAAGGTACAGTAGTAGATGAAGTGCCAGTATAACAGTACCGACAAATCTATATTCTATATAAACTTGGCGTGTGGGCACACTAGTATGATATAGAAAGTGCAATCATACAATCGATATAAAATTAGATAAATGTGAGACAAATTAAAAGATTTAACAAACATGATATTTGAAACGGCAGATCCTGTTACTGTCAACGATAATGACTTGGTAAACCGAGATGTCTTCGTCAATGTGAGACTCATTCAAAGGCGATTTATTAACTGTAAAATTTCTGCTGTAGTCATCTCATCAATACATTTTTAACATTTTATTTTGTAAATCAGAATGCAAAGGCTGGTTTAGCAGACAGGTACTCTGTTGGTGAATGGATATTTATGTGTTTAGAAGCAATATCGAAGCCAGCAAACTTACTATCAACTTTATGGAAGGAAGGGTAAGATATCAAAGTTTTCAATTTAGTATTTGCTATAAAAATACAAAGTAATATATTTTCAACAATTTCTAGATAAAATTTTTCGATTATAAGTAAACGAAACTATAGACACTATTGATTACTAACAAAATTTTTATTCCTAATACCAGTGTACATCAAAATACTAAATCACTGAAATTATTGATAGAAATATTATAGGATTTATTAGTAAGGCCGAAGCTGAATCTATCCTACAGAGTGAACCAATTGGAACTTGCCTTATACGTTTTAGTGAAAAATCTCCCGGAAATCTTACTGTGCCGTATAAAGACGGTAAAAACATCTTTTTTATTGAAGCAGCCCTACATTTAATTTCGCAATATCAGTCTCTACATGCTTCTCTCGAGATTAATAATTTCACAATCCAATATTAGCGCAAAATCTTATTCGATGGACCAAACCAGAAAATTCATCAAAAAGATCATGGATCGATGAGTGAGTTGTAAATGGATAGAGTTAGGGACTTGTATCAACAAGGTATATCCTACAATAATCGTTTAAACTTACGTTTTATGAAATTGTCTCAAATAGCGTATTATCAAGTAATCGAAAATGGAGAGTTATATATCCTGGTGAAGTGGCATTACAGTCTTTGCGAAATCTAATAGTCAATGATGAAGGAGGTAGTAAGATAAAAATATTATAACTGACGATAAATTTACTAAAAACAAGTTATTTATGACTATTCTCGCAAGTTTCATACTGTACTTTATCGACTAGCAAATATTAAAAATTCACTCCGTGGGTCAAGTAATCCAAGCTCTATCGTGTTAATGATGCTATTTTAGCCAACAATGATGGTAACTTATTAATTAATAGGAAATATGGAAATATCAGACTATGAGCCGTGCTTTCAAGAAAATTCTGACTGACATTATTTAATTGATGGTCGGGTATATTTGTTACAATTACTGCTAAATATTTATTCAGCGGACCTCTTATACTAAACGGAGTTGTTGAATTCGATTTCTCTGTCCCTGAATTGGCAATTTACATTATTTGACTTCTAGTAATACTTCTTAAGTTTGCGGCTTTAATCGATGGTATCTTATTTGATCAATCTGCTTTAATCGATTGTATCTTATTTGTTAATGATCTAGCTTCGAATATTTTTAGTAGGACTAGATTATCGATCATTCTGTGTTTAATGAAAGAGAAACTATCTCACATCTACACTTCAAATTAGCATTAAAATAATTTAAAGAATTGCCTTCAATATTATCATAAATTAGTTATTACTTACTTTAATAAGATAGAAAGTTATCTAATAGTTTTAATTACATTCTAAGCTAGATTGGTTAATGTCATTAACTAGGTAAGCTTATACCTATCTACCTGTAATGAATATTGCATAATTTGTTGATATGTGTTCAGTTCTTAACCCTATTTTCCAGACAAATTTCGTGCTAAATTATAGGAATTATGATTGTAAATTAGGAGAATATTTTAAATTTACGATATAGCAATATTTCTACAAGATGGGGCTATCTTACGTATAAGTATTAAGCGTATTATAAATTCTATTTTTCATTAATATTTATCCTGTATTAGCGCATTACTGTAAGAATATAAACAATACGTTAACTTTATAATGCCCTGTTATCGTTGTATCTGCATTAAATTATCTAATAAAGACTACAATAAAACATCGAACGTATCTGTCACTTCCTAACGAAATTATTGCATAGCGGAATTATATTTCAAGTCTTAGATTTAACTGTGGATTGCGCTAGCTTGTCAATTAATAAAGGACTATTACCTAAATTAAAATGTGTATTTTATTATAATAGGTATAAGTTTGATTATAGTTCTACATAGCTATTACATAAGTTAAATATCATATAGCTTTATAACGTGATTGATGAAGAGGCATCTAAAATTAGAAATCTATTAATAAAGCCTGCCTAGGCTTTTCTATAGTACCTTAAAGTATTCTATGTTAATTTAATTATCAATGTATGAAAATATATTTAGAGTTAACAGTGGGTATTCATTAGATAGACTTATCTAAGCGAATTTAAGGTTGACCAGACTGGTACCACTTTGTACTATAATAATCACTGATATAGTGTAGGCGATTACCTCATCACATAACCACATCAATTACAATATCGCACTCATTTATTAATTTAGAATGAATTTCTAAATAGTCCTACTCATCCACTACGATAATTAAATCATAATTTAGTCTACATCTGGGTTGATGTAGTGAAATTCTTTGTGTACATAACCGTCATCCCATCTTTGTCTAGTAAATTCTTTGATATTACGGTAATAATTGGTCTTAAATTTGTCGAAGAATGGTTAAGTAAATACGGAAGTCAGATTTGTCAACATACATCAGACAGATGGATCGGTAAGTAAATAAACTAGTTTACCTATCGGCACTTCCGCAAGTGATTTTTAAGACTTTGAATAGAATTTATACGTCAACAAGAATTAATGATGAGAATAAATTTATTTTTTATGAGTAAATTAGGGGTAATTCACAAAAGTTTACAGTTATTATAGTGCAACGTAGACATTTGTATGATTTAATTTTTCCTTATGTGTCGCTATAAATCTAATTCGATATCTTTCCTGCATTTACAGTAGCAATTATAACTTTATTACAATAATAAGAAAATTTATAAGCAACTATCTTCAGTCAGATAAAATTATTAAAATTCAAACAATTAAAACTGTTCCCTTGATACACTGTAATTACCTAATCGGTAATTTTTTCTTCTTTATTCGTAGCAGTTTAATGACTGATATTGTTTGTGTACTTGTTTTAACAGGTTCGAAAACATACTATAAAAAATGATGTATAGACGCATATTGCTATTTTAAAATTGTATTTAAATTGGCCTTAATAGGTGCTTTAAGTGCTCCTTCTGTAAATGTTGTATAGGCCAAGAAGTTATTACCTTCATTTTATGATCAGAAAGATTATTGCATACATTTTACGCTATTTTTAAAATTTTATTTTAAGTGTCCGTATTTGGTGCTTTTAGTACTATTTATGTAAATTTTATAAATGCCAAAAAGTTTATTGCGTTCACTTACTAACGGATAGACTATTGTACCATTTCATAATTTCACTAAAAGTTTTCCTGTTATTATAAGGACCAATCCTAAGCTACAATATAATTGCTGCGATGATTACAATAAACATTATGCTTCTATCGCTGTTGTGTTTGACGGCTTTAAAATGTATTGTTAAGTACCATTAAGCTAATGTAATATTCTAGGAATAATAGTGTTGATACGCAGAAATCTAATTCATAGTAATACTATTCGAATGAAAAGGAAGGATAATCAATCTAGATGTTTTCTAATCCTCTATAGAAATTACGATTAAACTTTTTCAGAGTTCACAAAATTGGTAGGATCAATAATTATCCATGATTGTGACGATCAGTTAGGACTGATGATATAAACTTTACGCCAAAAAATCATTGCTCTATATAAAAATTTTAGCATTATCTACTTTAAATAATTAATTTTTAATTTCGTTGCCGATTCATCGCATTTAATTTTATACCTGCGTCTAGCTTTTTCAGATACAATCAGGTGAGTAATAAAAGAAATAAGAGTTTTTATGCAGTCACGTCTTCAGTCATAAGTTATTAGTTATTATAAAGTCTTAGTCATTATCTTCCGAATGCTTCGTACAATTACATAGGAAATAAATGATAGTATATTATATAACAATAGTGACTTGTTCTCTTATAGCTCATTAGATTAGATACTTTTGAGTCAATTAAAATAGGGAAGCTACAACACTAGATATTAAAAGGCTTAATAGCTTGGTGGCGTGCAGAAAGGTTTATTCTATACAGTTTATTAATCGCTTTACAAAAATAAACTCTCAATTACGTTACAAGGATGGATATGCAACATAGAGAATACAAAGTCAATGTGAAAGATCGTAATAAAACTAGAATTTACGGAAACGAAAATGTTTTCCATGTTAGCATTGAATCAACTTTAAACAAATAGCGAATAATCAGATTGATAAATTTTTTTAAGCATACGTTTATGAAAGCGCATAATTATCGGAAATTCCCTGTCAACAATGACTTCAATTTATTCATAAATATATGATAGTGAATGTTTTCTTATACGTTGTGATATGCTATTTAGTTAGAGCGTTAAAATAGCAAATTCACAGCCTCAACTTCAGTTCCTGAAATTAATTTCTCGCTTTGCTATGAATGTGTTTTACAAGTTGTGGAGCAATTTTAGTATTATAAAGTAATTGATATAAGGAAGTGAATTAATTCACTTTGCGTGTTATTCTTGTTTAAATATTTACAATTAAGAAATGATTTGGATTGACTAGATAACAGAGCATTTGTTCCACTGACCTTTTAACATCTAGAAGTCATGCTGATATTCAGATTATTTATTAAATAAATGCTACGTTTTAATCATAGAGTTTACATTCCATTACTTTATTCATACTCCGTTATTGAATATAAAATTACTGAAATAGACTAGTTGGATACTTTAAAAATTGTATTGAAAAAAATTTCAAGACGCAAAAGTAGTAGACATGCTTCAATTATATCACATACTTGCGAATTATCTACAACACACAGACATTAGTTGTGTTTGAGCTATTTAAGCTACAGGATAACGATAAACAATGTATTGCCGAATACATATTTTGTATGGTAAAATTTTAAAGAAAAATTGGATATTTTCTTGTTTCTAATGATTGAAAATATCATTAATGGAGGTGTAGTCAGGCCATCAATAAATAAATAGTTAGTATCTCTGCCATCAGTAAAGATAGGACAAATAGGTAAAGTGTATTAGGCACATACATATGCTTCAGTGAAGATTTGATAGATAGGTCAAGAATATTAAACTTCTGTCTTTGCTTAGTAGCAGCACCGTACAATAAAACGTTCTTCAATTTAATCGTCTACGATAATAGTATCAACGCTATCCATAGATTAAGATTTTAACAATAAACTATAACTAACATTATCTGGAAATTCAGAAGATATAGAATTTTCTTAGATAAGCGTAGCTAATAATGGATTTATATTATAGGAGAAAAGTTTCTCGATTTTTTTACAAATGACTTCGATTTTATCTTATATACAAGAAATTTGGGTCTTTAAAGTGTGGTCATGCTGAGAATCCTTTCAATTTCTACTGGTAAATCAAGCATCCAAATCGTAATTCATAGGATAGCAAAGTTTTTAGTTTCAACGAGATTGGACATTTAGTTTTATGTTTATTAAAACTCTCAATGACCCGAAACCAGATTTACTATTCTTAATAGGGACGCTTGCATTTATGCAACGCTAATTAAGCCGTCATTGTAATGAGGTCTACCCGGATATGTACATTAAGTAAATCTTTAATTAATTCTAGTGTAATCCTGGAGTACTAACTGTGCATAACAAATACAACAAACTGTTGCTTTTAGCTATATGCACAATTATCTACAATATTATCAATAAAATACAAGTTTTGTTTTGAAATTAATTTAAGATTTTATGTTTCGAAATAAACATGCTTTAAACAGTTCATAAGTTACATCATCTTAGGAAATATTATTACTTTCTATATGATTGTTTTCTTGTCGAAGGAGTTTTGTGACATACAAACAAAGCTGAATTAGGCTAGGCGCAACAGTAAGGCTTAAAATAAGAAGTTTGCTTACATACGGAGTACATCAACAACTTCTTAGTCATCATTAATTACTATGTATGGCATCTCATGTAGCTTAATTAGCATTTTTTAGGTGGGCATTTTGCGTTATCGTTATTGTACTGCTAAGAGAACAATAAAAATAAATAAAAGAATTTGCCCTGAGGCACAATTGGACTCCTAGAGAAATTAAAAAGAGGGTAAGATTTTTTATTGGTTGCACAGTTAGACGGACGGTGAGGAGTAAATATATATCAGCTTTTCTACGGAAACTTTAGCATTTTCTGGCAAAGCGTCTTTGCAACACAAACATTTGTCGTCATGTATTACTCATCGGAAATTGGTGCTTTTATAAAAGAAATTGATGATAAAATTCTTCAATATTCCACAGCTTTGCAGGGAAATTTGACCTTAAATGAAGATTGCTCTCATGATTTTCAATCCTGGTGTCAAATGCACAACCTCATGCCTGGGTAAGTGTTAACTTTTAATTATTTTTCTCAATAGACTATATATCAATACGATAATAGTTCCAGGAGTAATAATACTATATCCTTGCTATTAAAGCAAAGCAACACATTTCGCTTAAGGTATAGAAATAGAATCAAATTGCATGTCCAGAATAAGAACGTCTTCAGTATGGCATTTTAGATTGCATTCATTGCCAACTTACGAAGGCAAACTATTGCGTTTTAAAGTGTCCGGCAGCGGATCAAGTTTCAGCAATTAATTTAGTAAATGTAGAAAAACTATAGTTTATGTTTTATTTCTAAAATAAAATTATCCGGAGCTACAATTTCAGTTTAAGTTTAAATAAAAAGATTTCTTCCAGAATCGACAATGAGAATCTAGGATTAAGGCACTTAAGAAGAATGTGATAATAAACCCTTTCGACATCATATTAACATAAAACGATAATTTTAAGCTACTCATTCTTACTGACAAAACTCAACAAAACAGTTTAAGATATCATATTACTTCCCGAGAGAACACCATTTAAACAAGAATGTTTATAGCTGTTGCATAAAATTTGTGTTTGCTTGATATGAACGATCAAATTTCCCTTTGCCATAAGAACTTTCAAAATTTGCTCGAATGTTTTATTCAAACTTTTGATTTGTTTTCCTTCACTCAGTTACGCTTACTCGGCATTTAAGTATGGAGAATTCCATCCCATCATCCAAAATCTGTCAATCTTTAAAATAAGGTGTTGGCTAGTATCTCGGATTATTTTCGAAGCCAATAATGTTTGCAACGAAATCGGAAAGGTTTGTCTTATAGGATTTTGACTAAATATTAACTTATCCTCATTCATCAAAGTGTTACGTAACTACCTATTTTTATTCCGATTACACTCAGTAAAAGCATTCTGTAACTAATCGTATATAAATCGTGAATTTTGCTGTAATAAGTAGATTGTCAGATAGTCAGATAGTCCTTGGTAGTTAGACGAACCTAACTTCTGTAATAGAGTGAAATTTGCAAGAAACAGTAGTTCTTGATTTATTGTTTTGAAGATCACTTTATCACACACTCTTAAATTGGTTAGCATTCGTATCTTACAAAATTTTACAATGTGTATGCTAAATCTATTCGAACTGATGTATCCGGCAGTGTTTTCTGTAGGAATAGGCAAACAATAGCAACATTCGCATTTAAACAAATACAATTATCGAATTTATTAATTAATTTGTGTACTACTTCAAGATGCAATATAATAGAAATAAATAGTATTTAATAATCCCTAGGATTATATTTTATTATGCTACAAATTGATATCAATAATGCCTTTGCAAATATATTAAATGATTGAATTCTCTGTAACGAATAGGAAAATTGTATTTTTTTAAAGGTACCAGACGAATGCAATTGTTAAACTTTTTCATCATAATACTCTGTTTGTAGGAGTGGCAAAATCAAGGGATCACTTTAAAGTTTTGGCTGAATAAAATCTTGGTATCTTATAGCAATATAATTACTATTTATAAAGATCTTAATTTGAATGTATAATCAAAACCTATAGCCAGTCATTGGTTTAACATTTACCATCCAGATCTGTAATATCGTACATTACGGCAATTTAAGCTCACAAAAATTATTATATTTATATTTAAGTTATTAAATACAGATTGCTACCACTAGCCCAAATTATTTTCACGTAGTTTAGTATTAAAAGTTTAATTAATTTATTGTTTTAATTTTATAAAGAACTAAGTCGCAGAGTTTATCGCTAATTGATTAACGATAGTTCCTTATGTTGCAATTTTCCTGTCAGCAATACTGTAAATGTAGTATTTGCAATATGCGAAGATGAAAACCTGTTTACTATGAACAAAACTGCTTTTGTTCAAACCCTATTGAGAATTTACTGTAGACTATAATGTATACTTGGCTAGCTTGTAAGCCAGAAAAGACAGATCAGAAGGCTTCAATTATATCAGTTTTTTAAATTTATCTCTATTGCTTTCCAGTAAGTGTAATACGAGTATTACTTTGGTCTTTATAAAGGCCAAAGCTGATATAAATATGCGGTTAAATTGGGGTTTACCGTCAAGTTCGATTTTGAAAACACATACTAATTAAGGACTTCGAATATTTACTGTATCACATACAGTCTAACTCTTTTTAGTCTACCTATCTGGAAATCATTAGGAAATGAATTTATCTATCATATATCTGATCAGCGTATATCATCTTTGAAATTCATGAACATATAAATATGCACTAATGTTACATCAGATATAGATGTATATTTAATGTACTGCAAAGACTACCATAGAATTTAACTATTCTGACGCTTAAATATTATTATGAAATGTAATCATAAATTGTATCGTAGCTCAGTTCGCTTACTTGTAGTAATTGCTATGAAATTCTTTGATACTAAGCTTGACAATCATTTATATCAGTGGCTAAGTCATAGCAATTGAATCTGGTAGCAATTATTATTATGCTTATTTCGATAATACAAAATTCAAACATGCGAACAGTTTACTATAATTGCAGTCAGAAATATTTCTAGAAATTTTCCTAAGAGTTGCCTCTTAGTAAACTATCAATAAAAACCTGATTTCCTTTCCGCATTGATCATAATTTGTTTTATTACTAAATCAAAATGCCTTTCTGTTAGCATAATTATACCAACCGAATACACAAAATATATATTTTCATTAGTATATTATTACAAAAGCTATATATAAGAACTATTAAGACTTTCTGATGTATCCTAAAGCATATTTAACTACAGTAGTTATCCCAAGTGCTTGATATATTATTAAAATTTATTAAAAAAACTATTTTTTAGAGCTCTATTGCCAGGTATCTAAATGATCCTTTACTGACGCAAGGATTTGTTCAACCTAACTACGAATACGTAAGTGATCTAGAATGAGTTAAAGGAGTAATAACTTTCAGATTTCGACAATATATGTAATTAATTCGTTTATATTGGAATACTTGTAGGTGTGTTTCTTTAATCTACCGTTTAATACCATTAATTAAATAGCAAAAATTATTAAAATTTATAGGAAGACATGGACGATTTTACAAACTATATGCAGCCAGATTATCCTAAATCGGAAGTAAGTCTATTAAGGCTTTGCGTGCTTACTGCATACAAATAAATCTAAGTTTTTATGCGATTAAGTGAGTTTTATAAATTGACAACTTTACTTTTTAGAGTACCAGCACAATGGATATTATAATGGGTTCCGAGCCTATCGCCGATATGGATGAATTATCTGTTTGCAGATTTACAATTATGATTAAATTGTCGTTGATGTACCTACGATTGCTTGAAACCATGCCGCGCAATATATCCGAAAATTTGGCTAATTATCAGCAGGGTCTGCAAGAACATGAAGTCACAGCTATAATGAGCGATATTGAAGTGATGCCAAGATTGATTGAAGAGCTGCTCCCAGTAATTTTTTTCACAATAAATATTTAATAGTGCTAGCTAAGCAAAGAAAAGTTATTTCAGACCTACTTCATAACCCTTAATCTTATTTTTTATTGTAGTAATAAAGTATCCAATCAAATTGCTTTCACATGTTATGAAATAGTTTTAACAACGAAGTATAATTACATTAATTACTACAATATGCTTGCTCTAAATAATTAATATAGAAAATTGATGAACTGTACATGGAGATGTTAGATGTCTATGATTTAAAAAGTCACGAAGAAATTTGGATCAAGCTCAAACAATGGAAGCGAAATACTCGGAACATTGAGTCAGCATCGGCCTTATTTTCTCTAAAACCGGTTATGCAGGAGCTAATTGAAATAAAAAATAGGTATGTGCGTAATTAAAAATTGCATTAGTTAGTATTTTGTTAAAAGTTATGTGTATAACTGTTGCATTGATAAATTAAATTAATACCGTCTCATGCTTTGTCTTACATAGTATGATTAATAGGCTGCGATACGATGCGGATATAATGCAAATTGCTGATGAAGTAAGTTTATCTAGATGTTACATAATTACTTGTATAGCATCAATTTTAGCTAAATTGTGAACAGAAATTTATAGGAAATGCAACAATCATTTATCTACTAAGCGCAATTTTAGCATTAGATAAATCTAATTCACAATCTACATTTTAAGTAATAAACTTACAATTTAATCAGAGCTACCTGCTAAGAGATTTACTAATTCATTTCTCCTAAAATCTTTATTGTAATCATGCAGACTATCAATATGCTGCAAGTCTTTCAAAATCGGCTGTTGCCAGTTCAAGATCTCATAAACAAAATATCAATGATAAGGATTGAAATCTGTGATCTGCATAATAATTTACTTTCCAAGTAAGAGAAACTACCGCACAAGTATCCAAACTTCACTAATAGCATAAATCTAACGTAGATTTTAATAACGTACTTTCTATGTCCTTTAATTAGATCGTTTTTCGTTATAATTCATTGCTATCGCGCCCCTAAATCCAACGGAAATATTAAATGTCATTTGGTGTAAGTTAACATTAACTCATTTTTCTTTAGGTTACGATGTGTTGCAAAATATCTTTTACGCTGTATATATTGCTCATACAATGATCAATATCTTATTTAGTATTAGTAGATTTTAGAAAGTAATTCTAGAAGCAATAAAGTGATCTGTCACGTTATTAAGAGATTGCTCTGGTTACCATCTTTAATTTCTGTGCATACATAAAAGTCTTATATTTCGCTTGGAATACAGGTATTTAGCGCAATCATATTTGCCGATTAATATTGACACATTCAATGTCGAATATATAGGGTAATTCTAAGCTAAATCTCAGATAATAGAAAGTATTATGAAATTTTTTATCAGACGCTATTTTGATAGCTTATAAGTGGATATATACATGTATGATAACATCTAAAGAAATTAACAGCGTATTAAATGCATACTATGTGAATGTATACTAAAATTATTAATTACTAGAAAGACATTGATAACTAATCTAATAAATTTTTCAAACATTTTTTCAATATCAGATTTAGAGACAACAAAGACAGCGATCTTAGGGTATGGGAAGTTCATGCAAGATCTCTAAATGCCCTACGCATATTATCATACAGTAGATAAAAATATAATACGTGATTATAGTGTAAAATTTATAAAAGGCGTAAAATATGTAATGCAATAAGCCATCTCTATGATTAATTTTGTTTTCAAAGAGTTGGGTACGATGACGTATTGACACTAGATTAATTCTATCGTTAATTAGAAAAATATGTCGGACGCTTCGAAATGTTATGATCTATTTTGCTTTGAGGCCAGAGCTAGACTTCATAACACGGAAAGAGTCTACTCAAGAGGGGTAAGATCAGTTGCAAATGAAGTTTACCGTCGCTATTATGTTTTGCTATTACTTATGGTTAATATTGAATGTAAATGACTAATTCGATTATTTAATATGGTATACTGAATGAAAACTTGATAGGAGTACGTAACGGATTATAGGTATCAATTGGAATTCAGTTTAGCTAGCGCTGACCCTAATGCATTTAAGGTATCTAGCCGATAGTTAATAGTTTCTCTACACAATGCTAGGGCCAATCGTTGCAGTTCTCTAAATTTATTATTATTTCTTTATTATAGTTTACTTGCAGGACTATTCCGTTCTTTATCCGAACCGGCAATGCTCAATGTTGGAAAGCCCTGTGTACTCTGGCCTGGGATTACTTTTTCATGGGAGATGTTGATGTACGTGTAGTATATTGAAAATATTCCGTGTTTACAACAGCAATAATGCAAATGCTAGCAGCAAAATTAATTATTTTTAAAATAAATTATCGAAAAAACTACTTAGAACGATAAGATAGATTAAATATATGAGTTTAATTTTCATATTCCTTTTAGGAAACGAAAATCGAAAATTTTCCTATTCATCAGAAGGCATCTTGGGATGAGATTGAGTGCATGTTACAAAGCAATTTCAGAGATCGTTTGGGAAGGGAGCTTACTTCTGAAAATATACAGTATCTTCGGCACTTGATCATGCGTAAGTATATCTTTTAAGACTCAATATAGGAAAATTATTACATTTAAATCTGAAGGCTTTATATTCAATCATCAAATAGAAGGCAACAGAAATGGTGGCTCGATTTCCTGGGATGATTTTCATTATGTATGTAATCAGTTGATTCGAAGTCTTTAGTGCCAAGCAATGCTAATATCTGTAACGTTTCTTAATCTATTGAAAAGTAACGGCTCAATTTTTAGTTATAAGATATGCATTATTCAAGCCAGTCTTTAATCGTACCCTATTTCAACCAATAATAGATTATGGATAATTTGTGCAATCAAGATTAATAATTAAATCATTTCATAATGGACACTTTAGGGTTTCCGAATCGGTAATTCTAAACACACGGTTGGAGAATGGATTTTTGCTTGCCTTGAAACCTTAGCTAAGCCAGAAAATTCTTTGAAGGAACTATGGAGATCAGGGTGAGTCAACTATAGTAAATATGCTTTCTGCTAGAGTGAGAACTATTCATTCTATTCCTCTGATATACAAATTGCGAAATTTAGACATTACAGCGACTTGAATATATCTTACATTAAAATGAATGTAAGATTTATAAGTTTACTAGCTACAGAAAATTTAATATGAGACACATTTCTGATCCTCACCCGCTAGTGTCTACTCATTTAAATCTTGCTTGATGCTAAGTGTACAAAATGTAAAATAATTTTACTAATAAATTATATCAATATTTATCCACGAATATACAGTACAGTATAGAAACTAGCTATGTACTGTACCTCGCTTTATCCTTATTTATGTAATAATTCCGTTGTACCGACCTGATACTCATAGATAAAAGAAATATTACTAAAAGTAATAACAAAACTGCTTCGGTATTAACACGAAATTTACTTGTACAGCAAGCTTCGTTGCTGTCCTTAAAGATGCTTTCCTTTCGTAGACTGTGCTTCTGTGTTTTAGTACTAAATGGTAATTAGCTAATAGTAAAACGAAGGAAGGATGTAATGAGTTTATTTTAGATAAATTATCAAATATGATGCATAGGTATTGACACAAAATTTATTTATATAGAAACTGCGCTGCTGCCCATAAAGCTACTTTCATTTTGCAGACTGTGTTTTAGTACTCAAGTTATAATTAGCTAACAGTAGGCAAAAAAAATGGGTGTAATAAGAGAATTTTACTAAAGTTTAAAAATATGATGCGTTCAGTATTTATCCTCGAATTAATTTCCCTGTAATTGTAAAAATCTTTAATATACAACTTATAGACACATTATAGGCTTTATTTGCAAAAATGAAGCCAACAGAATTCTCGATAATGAGCTGAAAGGTGTCTGTTTAGTTCGATTTAGCGAGCAGAAGCCGGGTGCAATCACTATTCCATATACAAATAGTAAGTTCTGTACATGAATTATCCTGGAAATTGGTAAATATGTATACTTTACAGTTACTATTAGGAGCTACTTGTAGACTATTACTTGACTTAATACGTGAGTTGTAGTTTCTTTCGTAACTGCAAGCTCAGCATAATTATGGGAAATATGTAACGAACTATAGATATATATATATATACGATAAAATTTCTTTAGATGATAATGTAAGATATTTTTTCATGTTATTTGGAAATACACTGCTATGATATTTCTTTTTATTAATGGTAAATAATATATTGTAAGTTCTTAAAATATTTTTGGCATGTTGACTTTAAATAAGATTTTATGACTCTACAATTGAATGATTAGGATTCATATAGATATTTTCTAGTCAGTTAGATTTCAGGGCAGAATTTGTAAATAACTATGAATTTCAATACATAAATAGGTTCGGGTGCTATAGCATGGCCTCATCCAATAAAATGTAGTGAATCCAATTTTACCTGGATAGACACGTAGGAAATTGATTGATTATCGTAAAGATTAACCTTGCGAAGACTCTGTCGCGTTTTTTTTCTAGTATAATTTATATCAACTTTGCGTTATAGGCTACACCTATATCCAGGATTTGCCAAAGTTTTGTATCCTGGCTATCTTAATGTGCATGGACTGGATCAATATAGATATGTCCCCAGGCCTACAGCGCGGCCAGGTTGGAACTTATAGCTAGGCTAATATATAAAGATCTATTAAAATGAAGCAATGATATTGTACGATTCGTATACAGTACACATCTCAATAGTAATATTTTGAAACATTTTGAAACTTTACTTTATTAGATATTATAGACGGTTATGAAGATGATTGTCCACTTCTTCGAGCTTAGCGGCGAAAAACGACTTGATGCCATATGACGATATTAAGTAGAAGGATTGCAATGTTGAGTGAAAATACTTTACTCGAGCAGAATACTGCAAGGCCTCCATTTTAAGGATGCATTTGATAAAGGGGACAATACTTGAGCCTTCTTGAGATCCATTCTTTGGGGTTTCCATATTTATATAGATTTTTATCGGCCAGTAGGTCGTAACAAATAGTGGGAGTGCCAGTGCAATTATACAGTATAATACTTTCTCCGCGATTATGCAAGTATATAGGTATACATGTATAGGTTAATAAGTTAATAATGTTATATCAGAATAAAGCATAGACATTGGTGATAGCAGGACCGAATTTTTCAACATGGCTGTTAGAAGTTATTATTGTTAATATGCTTTCTTTGTGACTATAATCCATTGTTTTTCTAACCTCTTTATGCTAATTTATCTCATTATTACTGAAACTTGGAGAGTTCAAGGTGTTGTGTAGGATGAGTTTCATTAATCAGCTAGTATGGAACAATAACATTTTCATAGTTGCATTTGAAAAGTTTTGATGATTTATTTGCTGTCGTAACGAAATTTTATATCATTTGTCGACGGACAAGGTTATTTAAATTGTTACTTTCAAGATATTTACAGCTCAAGTGAAATTATCTTTGATGACAGTTTGCATTTAGTCAATGCATACGAGTAGACTTACGAGTATGTCATTTCTAGTGAGATCACTATTCTTACTGAGCCTCTATAGAGCAGAGTGGTATTTTAAATTGACAAGTGGTATTTTTACATTTTTCTTCATCTCTCGAATTGACTATTGGCCTGAACAGTTGGCATTATGTTGTTCAAGAATAAAAGTAATGTCAAGTTGGCATGATGTGTGTGTGTCAATTAATGAAGTTCCATGCTGTCGTGATTGCTTGCAACAGTCTAGGTTAGCGCAACTATGCGTATCATTTCATGTCGTCTAAGGGACACAATTTGGCCTGGGTTTAAGCACGCAATTTGTCATTGGTTGCAACTTGCAACACTATTGCAGGCTACTGTACTCCCCTTATCATTATTACTACTACGATACATCCTCTGCCGTTAGCATTGGTCGAAATATTGAGCTAAGAGTTTCTCTTCTAGATCGTTGCTAGCCAACACTATTGCAGGCTACTATACTCCCCTTATCATTATTACTACGATACATCCTCTGCCGTTAGCATTGGTCGAAATATTGAGCTAAGAGTTTCTCTTCTAGATCGTTGCTAGCCAACACTATTGCAGGCTACTATACTCCCTTATCATTATTACTACGATACATCCTCTGCCGTTAGTATTGGTCGAAATATTGAGCTAAGAGTTTCTCTTCTAGTTCGTTGCTAGCCAACACTATTGCAGGCTACTATACTCCCCTTATCATTATTACTACGATACATCCTCTACCGTTAGCATTGGTCGAAATATTGAGCTAAGAGTTTCTCTTCTAGATCGTTGCTAGCCAACACTATTGCAGGCTCCTATACTCCCCTTATCATTATTACTACGATATATCCTCTGCCGTTAGCATTGGTCGAAATATTGAGCTAAGAGTTTCTCTTCTAGATCGTTGCTAGCCAACACTATTGCAGGCTACTATACTCCCCTTATCATTATTACTACGATATATCCTCTGCCGTTAGCATTGGTCGAAATATTGACCCACTACGACAACGAATAAGAGTTGCTCTTCTAAATTGTTACTAGCAGTAGTTGGCGTACTTTAACTTATTACTGCAAAGAAGTTAGACTTCGTAAGCAAATTTTAATTACTGAACTATGTTATTTGCCTCTCTCTCTACCGACTGATGTAGAATTTGTATAGGATAAGAAATTTGGGGGGCTCAATTCCTCAGACAAACTCAGTACAATAGGTGTACAGTATAGTACTATACTGTACTGTACAGTATACTACTGTACTGTATTGTGCAGGCAAGGGACCAGACCAGATGATGAAAATTCCTTACAGTACAGTACTGAACTGTAGCATGTTTACAGACCAGCCGTACAGTGTACAGTGCACAGTACGTGAAAGTACTGTACACTGTACAGCACACTGACGTAACGAACTGACGTAACTAACTGACTTACAGGCCAGTATAGTACACTGACGTAACTAACTGTACAGTACAGTATACTGTAGTCGTGCGTCCAAGTTACTGAACACTATACTGTACTGTAGTCATATTAAACCCATGTTTTTTGCTTGGTACTGTAGCAGTTGGCGTACTTCAACTCATTATTGCGATTTAATGAGGTGTCGTAAGCAGATTTTGACTACTAAACCATGTTATTTGGCTCTTTCTCTACCGATTGATGTATCCTTTGTAGACCAGACTAAGGCGACTTTTCACTGTAGCATGGTTACAGGGCAACAGTACACGAAAGTACAGTACAGTACAGTACTCTACACGAAAACGTAACTAATGTACTGTACAGTACAGTACGTAATCACTGTACACTGTACAGCGCAGTACGGTACAATAGTAATGTTCATGAAACCCATGGTTTTACTTGGTACTGTAGCAGTTCGCATACTTGAAGTAATGATTGTAAAGAAATTAGGCTTTATAAGCAGATTTGAGTGAATGAACTATGTTATTTGACTCTTTCTCTACCGACTGATGTAGAATTTGGACAGGATAAATATAAAAAAAAATGGGGGGCTCCAATTTCTGCGACAAACTCAGTACTGTACAGTATGGTGCAAGATGATGAAGACTTCTCACTGTAGCATGGTTACAGTACCAGTTCACAGTGTACAGTATACGAAAGTACTGTAAAACTCGATCTTGCACTCTAGGAGGAACTGACTGAGTCATGGTTGACAAGACAAGGCTTACGGTGTTGAAACAAAGAAGGCCAGCCGTAGCTTTCCAATCAACAGTTTTGTATAGACTCAACACCACTGTATGCAACCATCTACTACGCGTGGTACGCTCGATGCATTCGTACTGGAGTTATTTGTACTGTACAAAAAAAAATGCTCGCCACCATACTGTAGCACGGTACAACTGCTGTTCCAGTTTAAAGCATAGACTCCATATCGGTATTTGGGGGTTGATACTACGGACAGTCTGACGTCCTGTGGTATCGAGGTTAACCAGCCAGGCCGGCCAGCATCCATCGCTCCTTGCTGCCATTGACTATTTCAAATTGGTCGGTGGTGATTGATTTCCTTTAAGTTTCTCACTGTATAGCTGCTGCATTTCTTTTGCATATCGACTCTGTCTATACATTTATCCATCGCAATTTGTATTCATTCAGTGGTATTAAGCATTATTGGTTGGCATTGAAAGAAAGATGACCATGTCGAGTACGAAAGATGACAAGCCTCAGGAGAAGCATCCAACAGAGGATGCCAACAAGAAAGATCCCAAAGTGGATCAACGTCGAGAAGAAGAAAGAATCTTTGGCGAAGGTAACTAATAACTTGAATATGTTGGCATAATGATATTACTAGGAACAGTTTTTAATCAATCCAATGGTTACTATCCATTATTTCAGTAAGACTTTCTTCCTTTTCACGCTGATTGAAATAGTCTATGTGTATCATAGTGGGTCCTAACATGGACCAAGTCCCCTAAATTGTACCATGACAGGTAGCACGATCAAAGAGAGATCAGGTCTAGAAATTTTTTTCAAATTGAAAAATCAGTTCGATAACAGTAATTTGTATTTCCCAGTAGATAATGCATAGCTATTACACAGATGACATTAGTATTCATCCAATGGCCATTGCCATCAACTCAGCAATGGACTACGTTCATACTCACACTCAGCATGACCAGCAATCAAACACATTGAACATTGTCGATTATCCCAATTTTTTCCTCGAAGGGAATATCACTACAATGACATCATGAATTAGTACAGTTTCAATTTTTTGAATCAAAGAATCTTTCATTCCCTTCCATAGATATTCAAGAACACGCAAAGTATATTGAAAGATCGGTGAAAACAATGGAATCTCGATATGTAGCCCGCATATTACGTACTATCAAAGGGATTCGTTCTAAAGCAAGTGATAATTTGTTGAGGAAAGCGATCAATAAGCACCTAGCTACAGGTAAGGCTGTCACCTTCTTTTAGGTCCATGACTTCTATTAGTAACAGTCGTCATCATCATGACTTGATGAGAGCGTTTTTAATATCGCTGATTCTATCCATTTTATAACGTCATTCTTCATCACTTTTTTTAATTTAGATTCACCTTCCAAGGACCGCTTATTGTCGTTCTTAGATGAGGTTATTCAACTTTTGGACAAATATCTTTCACTAACTCTTGAGATAACTTATAACCGCTTCACTTTTATAGAGTATGGATATTGCTGAAGAAGGTGGAGATACTGTAGTCGAAGTACGTCATAAAAAGACCGATTTGTTGGAAATTGAAATCTATTTACATTTGCTGGTATTAATGCATTTATTAGATAGCAAACGCTATGATAAGGTCAGTAATTATGGAAGCAGTAGTCACTATTTTTATTCTTGAATTGTCAACTCTTTTGACTTGATGACATACCAACAGTGATATTCATAAAACCAAGAGTCTTAAATTACTTTCAACTATTTGCCTCCATTAGGCTATAGCTTGCGCTGACTTATTGATCGAAAAGTGCGAAGTAAATACGAAGCATTCATTAGACCTATTATCTGCTAAATGTTACTATTATTATAGTAGAGCTTACGAGTTATCTGACCGATTACGTGATATCAGAAGGTTAGTAAATGGAATAGATTTTATCTGCTTTGAGTTGGTTCTCTTTCCATTTTTCACTTCATATTGATGTTATTGCCTTTTGTGTTGTATGACTATCTCCACGTATTTTAGCAAGTTACTTGCCCGTCTTCGAACGTGTACTATACGTCATGATGAAGAAGGACAAGTATGTAGTAATTACTCAAGTACTAATGGCGATGAATTGTTGATGAATAACTTTAATTCACGGTGTATCTTAAAATTATTGAAATAGGCTGTTTTGATTAACCTGTTGCTTCAAAACTATTTGCACTACAACCTCTATGATCAGGTTAGAATTTTTATTCCGTTTTAGTCTATTAGTAATACAATCGAGATTTTTATATATATGCCTGTTTAGGCTAGTTTTATAACATTATGATTATGAATTCTTATCGTTACAAAGGCCAATAAGTTGGTATCAAAAGCTGCATTTCCTGAAGCTGCATCAAATAATGAGTGGGCGAGGCATTTCTTTTACCTTGGTATATTTTAAGCTAAAAATGTAGCAATAATATGAAATCGATTGAGATTAGCAACAGGAGAGCTATAACTCGTATGTTGTTTTTATTGCTTAGGTCGTATTAGAGCTATCGAATTAAATTACTCTGATGCATACCAACATTTACTACAGGTTAGGAAACTTGCAGCAGACTTATCTTACTACATATAGCTACTATATATATGTTACATAAGAGTAATATAAGCTTGTTCACCTCATAGGCAATTCGTAAAGCTCCACAAACGTCCGCTGCAGGATTTAAGGAAATTGTAAATCTCGTCATTACATTTAGTTCTAAAAATAGAATTCTATAAATTCTCATCGAGAATTATTTTTGATGTATTGACTTAAATGAACAATTAATGTCATTCAATATTTTAAGGTTCATAAATTCGCCATTGTTGTTCAATTGCTACTGGGTGAAATTCCTGATCGTAGCATATTTCGTGATCGTTGTCTGCGTCGACCGCTACTTCCATATTTTCAATTGACACAAGGTATAGAATGGGTTGAATTTATTGCAGGAATGGGAGTGTTAACAATTGAAAATTGACAACTGTTTCAATATTTAGCTGTGCGTAATGGCGATTTAGCAAGATTCAATGTAGTGGTAGATAAGTTTAAGTCAAGATTTCTTGCAAATAAAACTTATACCCTAATTATAAGGTAAGCTGTTAGCCATGATTGATAGGCAAAAAGTCAACTGTATGATAAATTTATGATAACTTTATTCTAGGTTGCGTCATAATGTTATTAAAACTGGCGTTAGAATGATAAACATCTCGTATTCTTCAATATCCTTGGAAGATATTGCAAAAAAATTGCAACTTGATAGTCGAGAGGACGCTGAATATATTGTTGCTAAGGTTTGATTGTTTGCCAGAATTTGGTACCTTATTGACTGTAAAGATTTTTTATCACGTAAGCAGAAGGTGTTCAAAACAAATCTACTTACCTATTTAATTAGGCGATAAAGGATGGAGTAATTGATGCAGTCATTAACCATGAAAGTGGAACTGTTGAGAGTAAGGTACGGTAAACTGCCACAGCCCTAGAGCTAGTGATAATCGTTAGTCGTTTTAACTAGATCACAACTGTTACAGGAAAATGTAGATATATACTCTACAAATCAACCACAAGAAGTATTCAATCAGAGGACATCGTTTTGCTTACAAGTATATAATCAGTCGGTTAAGGCTATGCGTTACCCCCGCAAAACTTACAGTGACAATGTTGAATCAGCTGAGGTACGAAATATTGCCAAGCACTAGTACAATATCTTTCTTTGATATTTTAATAATTCTAACATGTTTGCAATTACTTATGATACTACTATTGATATTAACTGAAAACGGCATGTAGGCATGTTTGAACTGATATTAATTACTTCATTAGGGGAGGCGTGAGCGCGAACAACATGATTTAGAACTAGCAAAAGAAATGGCAGATAAGGATGATGACTTTTAAGATACTGTAGTCTTATTTATATTTTTAGGACTCAGTTAATTATTTTATAGCTTGAATTCTCTACGTGCATTCCTTTGTCTTATAGACTAGATAATATGTGAATAACCGTATAAATGAAACATATGTATCATCTTTTTCGTATGTTACTGTAATCAGATTTCACTCGCATACTCGTAGTATGGTATAAAATCTGACTTTGATGTCAAGTTACGTTCATGGCAGAATTTTTGTAAACTCAATTCTTGTCTGTGATATTGTATAATTATACCTATAATAAATCTTTTTCCTGAATTGTAATTATGGATATTCTGATATGTAACAACTATTTCTTCAAGACACCATCTGTTCATATACGTTTCTGTCATAACCTTGTATTTTCGCAATTTACACCGGGCCCTCATCGTAGACACGAATGTGTAATTAGTTATAGTATATATCCTTCAAATAGATAGCTCCACCACTGTAAACGCTTATATAATCAAAATTTCCAAAAGCATCATACTTAATGAAAGCTAAAGTAGAATGCGTAGTGTATACTTGAAAATTTTTTGGCTATTCTGATGAAACTACACCCAGGGACTACAGCATATCATTCAATCACTGAGTTTTGGATTTAATAGACATATCGCATTATAGTTCCCCTACAATGAAGAAAAATTTTCGATTTGTACAAAACCTGTTCTACAAACTACTCAGCGTGTACATCACTTAAAAGAAATTTTATAATAGATTTTATTACTGACTCTCTTACGATTGAGATACTAGTGTAACAAGCTCTGACCGACAAAGTAAAACTACATACAACAGCAAAACTTAGAGAAGGATCAAAAATAATAATACTAAAATGAACCTAGATAAATAGGTTACTGAACTTGTTCATAAGATAAAACTTGCGAATAAGATCACTTGATACTTCAAAAACTTATTAGTATTAAGACGAAATCATATTCTACGAAGCTGAAATCAATATACTTGAGCATAACTTATATACAGCTATTATTGCCGACAGCTCTAGATTTGATATTGATTTATAAGTTATATCAAATTTACTTCTGCATAACATGTTGACAATAATAACTTCTGTAACAGATTCACTACACTTTTACACATTTAGTAATAAATTAAAGCATAAAAATGATAACTTACTGCTGGACATATTAGATTCATAATCTGAATAAGTCCATCTCATGATAATTAGACATTGCATAGTTACTAGTTTATGGCCATTTAAAATAATATCATGTTACCTATCATAATTAGATACATTAGATTTATAACCTATGTATCGATCTCGTAATAAAATATTATAAACCCCATGTGTTTAAAATCAATATCCATACAGGAACTATCATTGGCTGGGCACATTATATTACTCATATAGCCTGAGTGAATGCATTCGACCATACTTTCATTAGACAGAACGGCATCGACTCTATACACATCAAAATTAGACTTTGGTAAGTTGATATCTTCACAATGGAAAAAAGAAGATGAATTTCTAGCACTTACCCATATTCGATTAAATGTTTTCGGGCCAATGAACTGTTATAGTATCAGACAGTAACATTCTATGTTATTACGGGATTTACATATGTATATAATAATCGTAAGCTGCAAAATACATTGGTATAAAATTATCCCTTGCGTACGTAAACCTCACTTACTAGATAGAATAGAAACAAAGCGTACAAAACGAAGGCAACAATAACAAGCGCTAGTACGGCAGGCATGACATGGATACTGGCCTAAACAGTAGAATAATACGGATAAGAGTAATTGTGTTAGTAAGAAAATATCAAGCAATTTGAAAATGTTAGGATTAAAATATCAAATCAATTAACACCAACCAATAAGTCAAAAACAGAGTAAAGGTTGAAGCCCAATACAATAATTGACACCACCCATAACATTGTTGAATATTTTCTGTAAATAAGTATTTCGCAACCGCATCAGTATCTGCTTATGAAACGTATTAGGGTGAAGCCTTTTGAACTCGAGATTGTACAAGATACTACCTTCCTATCCTAAATTGGCCCATTATTTCCGTATTAGTAATACAATGCATCAGCGGAAATAGTGCAAACGGCAGCTAGGATTATTAAATAATTGAATCATAGTCAATATATCAAGATATAGCCATAAACTAGCGATATAAACGTAAAATTAACGGTACCAAAATGCTCTGCGATACATTAATGAGGTTGTTCAGTGTATCAATATCGTCTTTAGCCAGGATAGCTATGATCATTGACGGAAATATAGAGATTGATCTGGTGACAAAGGCACGCTTCCATTTTGGCCATGAGATGCCAGTGAAGCCCTACAAAAAGTTTTGCACGAGGTTATTACATGCCAGTACCGTTATAAAACTTAAGTGGTAGCAAATCAAGAATACTTATAAAGAGGTTACCTCCATGACAAATTGACCCGCATAAGTTCCCTACAAGGTGCAACGGTTATCTCAATTAGACGATATCAGATAAATGAGGTTTAGCATCTGCTAAATCGGATGTAAAATTATTTAACAAACCGTCATGGTGGCACTTTGTCCAGCAGAAAGTAGCCCTATACCCCAGATAATTTTCGCAGCTTTACCAAATTTTTGATAAATGCAATTACCTGCGGTCCTTAATTGGGCATTGGAACAGTCGCCATGACGAAATGACTGTAAATTTTAGTAAAATGTTAGCTGGCATGGCTAATAAAACTAAATCTTTAAAAATCCTTAATCTTCGCTGTTCAGTCTGTATTAAGCAGATTACTAGCAAGACTGATACAATAAAAATTAAGCCCAACGATTTTATCTTTACCTTAGCAAAAACAGCGGTAACAAAGAGATTGATAAGAAACGAAACAAAGAGTGCCACAGCTGTAAGTACAATATTAAAATGATTTACTAATTAATTATTCGAGCAAATGCACACAAGCATACAGTAATATCAATATTTTAAAAGCAACTGTTTGCTTCTTGTACGAAACCTACATGATTCAATGCAGTAATACATATTAGCTTCTCTGATAACGGAAGGAATGTCTCGATCTATTTCTCGGCTCTAAATTTGTGTCAGTCATAAAGTAAGAGATTTTACGACGCTATAGCGAATTAATAGGCTAGTGAATAAGAATATTTAAGAAATAACAAAATATCAATTATCTATAATTAGTTATTACCAAGACTAGCGCTGAATGTAGATAAAGATTATGGGGCATCACAACTGATCCAATAATACCAACTGCCTATTAATAGATTATCCAAAGAGTGTTATAATTGAAGTTATGATTTATTTGAAGGTTACGCCGCTACATTGGTATGATCACTCGTAATAGGTTTGCAAATTTGCAATCCTAGTACCTGTTCTGCATCCGCAGCTGTGCAATTAGGACACGTGGGTGCAATGACACCAAGAATAATTTTTCCTTGATCCGGAGCAGCTATAATATACTACGAGGTTTGTACAAACAAATTTTAGTAATCTAGAATAACTAATATGATGTACGTTCTTATAAATGAATATTTATAAGTTTAATATAAACCAACCATATACAAGAAAGTTCCTGCCATCAGTGTAATCAGCATTGCAAACAAAGCTTCCAGCTTCCTCAGGCCTGCAATCAAAATAAGTAAATTTGTAACTGCACAATGATAACTATTACTTGGACATACAAATGCATGCTGTTACCATAATTTTGTAATAGCAAAAACATAAAGGTGTCTACAGCCGTAATAATAACACCAGCATATATTGGAACCCTATAATTGAACATAAATAGACTCTATGATCAGTAATGCCGTTTTAAAAATTTTCACGATCGTAAGAATCTTTGTGTTTTTCTGACTTACTTTCCAGACGACAACAAGTTAATAGCTATAGCACTTCCAATTACTTCCTGAATATCAGTGCCAATAATAGCGATTTCCATCATTAGCCAAACGACAATCCTCGGAAACAACGGGTAAATGAAACGGCAATGTTCGGCAAGATGTCGACCTGATGAATAAGACAAATGGGGCTATGTAAGTTGTAGAATTACAGTAACATATCACCAAAACGGCTACTTTGTAGATAATACTATAATACCGATAGTACAACACTAGATTCTAACCTACCTGAAACCGTTCCTAATCTGGATGAACCCAGCTGTATTAAAAAATTTTAATAGTAACGTTATAATTTAGCAGCTGCAATTTAAGCACTACGGTATCATTTAAATATTAATTTTAATATCCAGTAAATTAAAATGGTTTTCGTACTTGCAGTAATAATCCCAATACTGTCGACCACCAGAGAACCCAGAGTAGCTATTACAAAATGCCGTTATCCTTTTAGTTTAAGTATACTCAAATCTGTCTTTCTATGGTAATGTGTTATTTATTCATTTACATATAATACATTAATCGCTGGCGCGATATATTGTAATAATAAATTTCAGTAAGTATTTGAATTAAAAAGAGAATTTGAATAACCTTGTAACCTGCGACCGCTCCAGCTTGTAGGTCAGAATCAATGTTACCAGGATCCAAATAGGCAATACTCATTAAAAATCCCGGACCAGTGAATGCCCATAGTTTACGAAAGCTAAATGACTAACAGTAGAGTGCAACCATTCAAGAATTAGTTAAAGTTGCCTAGTCATGTTGCCATAATGTTAATATTATTCAACTTTTAGTTTATAATATAAGCAAAATTGTCGATATTCACTCAAGTCAACTTGGTTCGTGGATATCGAAATCCAAATGATGTAGTAGTTAAATACTTGTTCATCACATACTATAATAGATACAGTAGCCAGCTTGAAAAATTTTAAAATAGACTTGCGTATCTTATTTCAATTAAATTTATCATAATTGGGTATACGAGTACATATAGAAGTATAACCATCTAATCACTCATGTATTATCAATGCTTTCCTATTGTAACGTATATAATTTGGAAATAGTATGAAAGATAATTTAACATGCTAATCCAACAATAGCTATTTACCCTTTGATGGGGGCTTATCTTGAATGATTTATAGTTCGAGTTATTAAGGATAGTTTTCTCTGACTGATAGGCTTCAGGATCTATTGGCGAATTGGAATGATATAATGGTTTCTCGTCTTGGTCATGTAGCAGCGAATTTTCTTCTTCAGTTTTCATGATTTACTGCTGATGTTGGCTAGTCATTCATAAAGTTAACATGAAACAAAAATACACAGCATTAGTTTCTAGTCCTTTAGCAATTTGCATTTATAGTTAATGCCAGTAGAAGTGAAGGTTAATAACTCGAAAAATGTACTTTATTATCACAGGAATGCCCCTTGTCCGTCGGATCCGAACCAGTAAAGTGTCACTAAATTATTGTTTTTATCTAAATTGCCTTCGATAGCGCTTGATCAATGCTGATGGTAGGTTTATTTAAAATGGATGCAACTAAATGTGGTTACTGAAAAATAGCGTCGATGCCATATCGGTTGAAGGGTCGGTGCCATTGAAAATTTATAACGTTTAACATCAATTACTTGAATATTCACTAAACTCTTTCACGTGCATCATAGTAATCTGGATTTATGCTACATTCTCAATCATCAGGTGTCTATACTACTTTACAACGGTAATTAATATCTCCTTGGCCAAATGTTACGGTGGTTCTAAGAAATATGACCGGCTAATCAGTATAGGAATCTTGTGATAGTATCTTCTAAAAAATCAAATAAGATCTACGTTTCTTGTAAACTTCACTTTATTACATAAGTCAGACTCGTCTAACAACCCGCAAGGACTATCTAGCTACAATCAGACTATCACTGCACTATCTACATTATGACTGCAATATTCACGATTTACTGTATGTATTATACAACTCATTACAGCGTGATTTTCCTTCAACACAATCATATCTTGCCAATTAAATTCACAGGATCAGATCGAAATTTATGTATTTTGTACCATCGAGCAATCTAGGTCTTCGATATACTTGGGGCTGAACTACACATGTACACAATGTACAAACATCAAACTACCGCTAGGCGAAATTTTTAGTATTGGTAAATACAATAATAAGATATTACAGGTAAATAGGAAATAATCCAGTGATGGAGCCAGCATGTTTAACGGTATGTGGCTTCGTTGCGGTCATCTACCGTAAGCACATAAACTGCTTGAAACTTATTGCAATCACGCTTGTCAATTCATGATAATTAATCATTGGAGGCTTCAAAGATACATTCGTTACCGTAACTTACGACTATGATGTCATTCAATTACATTAATTCCCAATTAAAATTAAAATTATTCAGCAATCGTTATACAATCAGTGTTTCGCGGTCTCAATAAATTCTAGCGATATTGAAGAAAAACTCAATTTCGTGATACATAAATGATTATAAAGCGAATGGACTAAACCGTGTATTTGAATTGAACATCGATTACTTCGTTTTCTATAGTGTCACTGGTTATATCTAATATATTTTACAGTTGGTGTGTGAGGCTATGATCACCAACATCTTTCGAACAGCAACCACTAGTGAATTACGTATTTCATCATCCTATTTTTCAACAGTTTTTACCCCTACAATTATCCTGATTACTGTCATGGTGGACATCCGTAGAACTCACGATAATAATTAATCATTGGATGTAAACTATCAATTCATTGAAAGCAAATGGATCACAACCCCGATTAAACAATACTCGTACACCCTTCTAATTAGACAGGATATCAGCGATAAGCTTTAATGCAATTATTATTCATTATCTTACGGAACCAGGATTCGATTGATCACGAATAGAAATCAGAGACACTTTTGAGTCTCACTACCCGCTAAAAAAAATGAAGTGGTTGGCCATCATTTAAGCAAGAATTGGAGACTTGATTTCCCAGTTTCATAATTCATTCACACCTCATATTTATCCATTCCCTAGTCATTGACCGACTACTCAAGTGCTGAAGTGGATTGTCATTTCGAGTCCTTCAGCGGAATAAAAGCGCAACCCGAACCCGATGGAACGGTTGATTTTCGGACCCGAAATACGCGCAATCGCTATACAAACACTGTATCACTACAGACATTCTGAGTCCGAATGCCCGAAAGTCACGTTCAAATTCGGGTTTCGGCTCGACTTTTCAAGTTATTCAATAGGTCGCATACGGTACAATACAATCCGGTCTCCTTCACCCAATTACTGATACTGCCAGCCAATGGCAAAATGAGCTTATCGTCATGACGAAGGATGACCACATCCATACTCAACCTCTTGCAAATAATCTGATAAAATGATCGAGAAATACCTTTTGAAGTATCGCGATATTCTTAATGGCTACTAGCTTCGTCCTTTGGACAGTTATTCAAGCCTTTGGGAAAACTTGATAGATTTTGAGGACGTGTAAGAGTTTATTGATATTAGCCAATTTTGTCCTGTGGCCGCAGATAAAAGACAAGTTTTATCTTGGTCTGTCTTTTATCTCTCAATGTGGGACGTGACTATTCTACACAATACAAAGTACAGTACAAAGTTCAGTACGGTACAGTACAATGTACTGTACAGAGTGTCCTTCGAAAAGTCAACCGAAATACGGACGCTAGGGGGATTCGGGTTAAGAATCTCGATAGTGATACAGTGTTTGGATAATTCGAAAATCAACAATTTTGATCGGATTTTATCGGGTCGAGTACAGTCTTGTTCAAGTACTGTAAAGGAGAGTAGCAAGAGTGTACAGTGCAGTACAGTATCTATACAGTAACAGTAGTGTCTTTGGAAAAGTCAACCGAAACCCGACATTAGTGGGATTCGGGTTAAGAATCTCTATAGTGATACAGTGTTTGGATAATTCGAAAATCAACAATTTGATCGGGTTTTATCGGGCTCGGGCACAGTCTTGTTGAAGTACTGTACTGTACTGTACTGTAAAAAGGACAGTAGCAAGAGTGTACTGGATCCGTCCTGTCCTGTACAGTACAGTACAGTATCACTACAGTATCTCCGGTACAGTGTACAGTACAGTACGTACAGTATACAGTACACTGTACTGTACTGTATAGCAGGCAGTCGTTCCCAACTGAGTAACTCGTGACGTTGTCACCCTACGCTCTCTCAGGTGACTCATTCCAGGCTACGGGTAGCCAGGAACGGCTCTAGTTATCGCTTGCCTTGAAATTCAATGCAACTCGTTGCTCTGTTGCAAAGTATCAATGTGGATCAACTCTGATAATATCAGTGTTTCTCGATCCACAAGTGCAATCGGATATCATACAAGAGGATATGCATGATTGAGTTTAAAGTAGATTTCGTGTGTTTCTTCTGTAGTTGTACGGAATAGAAATTACAGTCTTGATTCAATATGAATCAATTCATTACTAGAGAAACCCGTGGAAATTTCACGGGATATAGTGCAATTTTAAGGTAATAGAGTATAACAACATGGCACACGTGCAATCGCATGAATATGGCTTGATAATAATTAGAATTAGAACTAGTAGACATCCACTCTTTATGCAGTATATACTGTGAGTATAGGCAATATTCAATACAGATGTTACCGTTCGGTATCTCTTGATAAGATGGACCTGGGGTAGCTCACGAGGTACTACGACTATCGGATAACTAAGATCTTCCTTCTATTAACTCACTACAAATATGACAATTTCGGTTAACTAATAATTGATTTCTCTAGTTACTACACTGCCCATATCTGACAATTGAGTGTGACGCAATACGCGTAGATCCTACATTATTGCCTGATGATGCAAAACTTATAATCTCTCAGGAGAAAAGTAAACTTAATAATCTCAGAAAATAACGGCGAACCCAGTACTTTAATACTGTACTATTTACATACTCTTATTCGGAAACTGTAACGCAATTACAGAACTAACATTACAACAATATACACGCATTTATACAGTATAGTATAGTATATTATGTACACGTAAACTGCCACATATAGAACTGTAATCGATATGTATCATTGAAATCAATAGATATATAGATACTGTAGTTTCAACCTTTCTTGTACCTATTTTCTACATTTGTTCCATTGAACCTCTTGCATTTAAACTATGGATATTCGAATTTTACCTGTCTAGTAGCCCAAACTGGATATTGTTTGATAACTTTAGAGTATGTATTTAGTTCTTATTAGAACCGAACTGTGTGTACTCCATCTAGGATTTGCATAAGTCAACTATTTTTCAATAAATGCAGTGAATTCAACGCAATGACAAGTATACGTGTATGTTGCGTATTTAGCTCTCCCTAGGGTCAGGCAATAGACTAAGGAATAGTACTTAGAATCGTATATCCAGCGGTTGATCCAATTTAGTCTATGAGGAAAAATTAAATGTTACCAATGAGTGCTCAAAACTAAAATAAAGTCGATACGTGACCAACGAGTAACAAGATCAAATCTAAAATCAAAAACATTACAATTTACCTAGTTTTCTCTAAGCTAGCTTATCTTACACAGCCTGAAGTGCTGTCTATTTTATGCAGTCATATTAAAGTATAACTTACTATTTAAAGACAATTACACTGTATAAAGAATCATATCTAATTCTTGATAATGCTTAATACTATCATTAAGCATTGTATTACTAACAAACAC